TCCAAATATATGTTGTATCATAATTTTATAAATGGAAGTTGTTTTCATTTTTTTTGTAATTGTAGCTGGAAAGCATGTCTTTATTTTATTTGTTTATTTTTATGTTRTGCTGAGAATTGAACCCAGTGTCTCACATATGCTAGGCAAGCTCTTTGCCACCTGGAAGTTGGTTTTTATAAAATCTTAAACCATATATATTTTTTTGGTTTACTTTTTGTCTTTTAAAATTTGAACTGTATATGGTAACTAACACATTGATAATGAGTCTAGTTAGACTATTCTTTTGGAAAACTTGAAACCCATTAATGAATGCATGCATATATACATACACATATATACATGTGTACATGATACACATGTCTATATAATTAAGTTCCTCCTGAAATTCACATTGCACATGTGAACAACTGAGTTGAGAGTATATTGTACTGAGTTAAGGAGTAGCTGCCTCTAGGGGACTCATGCATACTTTCATATGTGTGACTAATGTGTGGAGGATCCAGGCTGAGAGCATTGGGATATGCAGCCCACAACAATACCAGRATCAGGCCACTGCTCCAAAAATATGGTCACATTCAGAGGTCTGCAGCTATAAGAGCTCTCTTCTCTGCTCTGGGAGCCTTGGACAGTGACCATCAGCCATAGCTTTGTCCCAAAACATCTCTCCCTCAAGATAAGGAGGCACATTTACATCACAATAATGCTTGTAATGACACAATCTATATTGTTTTGTGTATGCTTCAGTCTCCATAATATATCATGTGCTCCTTCAAATCAATAAGGAAAAGATCAGCAACTAATAGAAAAAATGAAGAAAGACTGAAAAGGAGTGTCACAAAAGAGGATGCCTGTTCATCAGTATGAATGACCAGGTTAAAGCAAATTAAAGCCACAGTGAGATGTTGCTTCATACCACCAACTGGCAAAAAAATTTAAATGTGATCATATGGAGTTGGCAGGGAGGAAGATATGACCATATCAAGTGGCAGCAAAAAAATTGTCCACTGCTGGCAGGGTGTCCTTATCACAGCATTTGGATGTGTGGCCTAGATGCATGTAATTTTGACCTGTCACTTCCTAGGATGGCACCAACAATGTGCCTGCCGGTGTCCCGGGAGAGATGCCATCCATGGGAGTATCACACAGTGGCCCAATCTGGGAGCCATCACGTGTCTATGAACCATCAGTGGCTGCATGCACCAGGCATATCTGATGAGAACACAACATGGGTACCAGGTGAAGGGAGGCCAGCAATCAATGGGAACATGGGCAGACTCATCCATGCCTCTACAGAAAAGTCACAGCACCATATCCAGTTCCTAACATGGAAGACACAGTGGTTTTGCCTAGGGCCACACCACATACATGTTGTGTCAAGGCAGGCAGAGAATGATAAACACAGGTCCAAACTGGGTGACATCTCAGAAGGGGACATTGCAAGGGCACTGTGGCCTAGTAATGACACGGTCCCAGTTCCATAATGGGCAGCAGACACATGAGTGTCTCATATATTTATATTATTTGTATTTTTTGTAGTGGGGATTGAACCCAGGAGTGTATTATCACTGAACTACAACCCCGGCCCTTCTTATTTTTTGTTTTGTGTCAGGGTCTCACTAAGACCCCAAGTTACTAAGTTGCTCATGCTGGCTTGGAACTTTCAGTCCTTCTGCCTCAGTCTCCAGAGTACCTGGGATTTTAGGCATGCACACCTAGTAAACTTGGGAATTCTGTGTCTGTCTGCAGCTTGTATGTTTAGACACTATGTTCTGCCCATTCAAAACTAAATTCACAAGTTTAAGAAGGTGACCTTCCTATGCTAGAATACCTGAACAGAGAGCAGAGCTTCCTGCACAGGTGGAAGGACCAGGGAATCTGTGGAGGATCCAGGACAGTATCCCTGAGTGTCATCTCAGGGGAGGGCACAGGAAGAATAGGCATACTGTTTGAAGCAGAAGTTCTTTGCAGGCCAGGACAGGAGGTGCCCTGAGGAGGAGGAGCAAGCCTCCTGGGCCAAAACTGCCTAAAAACTCATGCCCCCATGGCCATATTTTTAAATTTGGAGAAAATTTTTCTCTTGTGTTTATCCTGAAACAAAGTCTTCGTGTGCTTCTCTCCTGCAAGACACCTGTCACAAAGACTGCCCAGCCAAGGTGAGGCTACTCAGAAGAATTTAGTTTCTGTCCTGGTGGCAGTTATGGCAATATCAGTCATGGGCTCACCTTCTTTCTTCTTTTTTTTTTTAATATGTTTAAAATGTAAAAGTGATATATGAAAAAAAAACATTGTGGTTAATACAAATCACATGTACCATCTTAATCACATTTAAGCATACAGTTCGCTGGCTTTAAGTACATTAACATCATTACACAACAATTACCACCATCCATCTCTAAACTCTTCATCATCTCAAACTGAAAACTCTGTCCCATTAAGCACTAACTCTCCACTCCTCTCCTTAGTCCCTAGAAATCACCATTTGACTTTCTGTCTCCATGAATTTGATTAGGTATCTCCTAGGTATTTGTCCTTTTGTGACTGCCTTATTTCACTTAGCATACTATCTTCAAGATTTATTCATGTTGTAGCATGTGCCCACATTTCCTAAATGTGGGCACATGCTACAACATGAATAAATATTTAGTTTTTCCTTTAAAAAACTAAATAATAATCTATACATGACATTATACATGACTCATCTGTTCATGAATACTCGGGTTGCTTCTACCTCTTGGCTATTATGATAATACTGCTGAAAGGACTTGGGTATGTATGTCTCTCTGGACCATATATGTTTGAGTTGGCTTTTGTGTTGCAGTGACCAAAATACTTGACAAGAACAGTTGAGAAAAAGAAAAGTTTATTTTGACTCATGGTTTCAATCCACTCATGGTTTCATGTCCAACTCCATAGCTCTGGGCCCATGGTGTGGCAGAGGAAGTGGCAGAAGGAAGCAGCTCTGGACATGACAACTAGAGAGATAGAGCAAGCTGTGCTCACCAAGGACAAAATACAAACCCTAAAGTCACACCCTAAGGGACCTACTTCCTCCAGCCACATCCTATCTGCCTACAGTTACTGCCCAGTTAATCCATTAGTGGATTAATACATTAATTAGGTTATACCTCTCATATACCTATTCACTTCACTTCTGAAAATTCTTGCATTGTCTCACGAGTTTTGTGGGTACACCCCATATCTAAACCATAACAATATGGTAATTCCATGCCACCATAGTGTGTTTCATAGCAGCTGCACCATTTTATTCCCACCAGCAGTGTACAAGAGTTCTTATTTCTTCGTATGCTTGCTAACATTTTTTATTTTCTGTTTTTTTTTTTTTTTTTTTTTTGCAGGGGTTGAGGGTATTGGGGATTGAACTCAGGGGCACTTGGCCACTGAGCCACATCCCCAGTCCTATTTTGCATTTTATTTAGAGACAGAGTCTCACTGAGTTGCTTAGTGCCTTGCTTTTTGCTGAGGTTGGCTTTGAACTCACAATCCTCCTGTCTCAGCCTCCTGAGCTGCTAAGATTATAGACTTGCCTTTCCTTCATGATTAGTGATGTTGGATATTTTTTCATGCACTTACTGGCCATTTGCATATCTTTGCCCATTTTTTACAAATATCTTTATTTGTTTATTTTCATGTGGTGCTGAGAATCAAACCCAGAGCCTTACACCTGCAAGGCAAGCACTCTACCATTGAGCTATAGCCCTAGCCCTTCTTTTTTTTAAATATTTTTTTAATTTTTATTTTTAGGTGGACACAATATCTTTATTTTACATTTATGTGGTGCTGAGGATCGAACCCCGTGCCTCGTACATGTTAGGCGAGTGCTCTACCGCTGAGCCACAACCCTAGCCTCTAATATTTGTTTTTTTAGTTGTATTTGGACACAATACCTTTATATCATTCATTTATTTTTATGTGTTGCTGAGGATTAAACCCAGGTCCCTGCACATGCTAGGCAAGTGCTCTACCGCTGAGCCACAATCCCAGCCCTTCCTGCCCCTTTCCCCATTTTTTAAATCAATTTTTTTTTTGGTAGTGGTTGTTGATTGCAGTTCTTTTTATATTCTGGATATTAACAACTTATCAGGTATGTTTGAAAATACTTTTCGTTCATTCTATTGGTTACTTTATCACCCTATTGATAGGATCCTTTCAAGTACAAAAGTTTTTCATTTTCATGAAATCCCATTTGTCTATTTTTTTCCCTTTGTTACCTGTGATTTTGATGTCAGATCCAAGAAATTATTGCAAAATCTAATATCCCAAGCTTTCTCCCTATGTTTTCTTCTAAGAATTTTATATAGTTTTTAGCTAATTTTTCCATAGAGTTTTATGTGAGGGTCCAACTTTTTTTTTCACATGGCTATCCAGTTTTTCCAACATTATTTGTTAAAAATAGATTCTTCTCCCCCATTGAATGGTCTTGATGTCCTTGTCAAAATTTATTTGACTGTATTTGAGTTTAAATCTGAATTTATCTCTAGACTGGCAGGTAATTTATTAAAGTTTAGTTAGTACTGGATCCATCACTCAAATGTCTTAGTGCTTTGAGTCATTATTCCCGGATTTGGGATGTATCCAGTACTGCTGCTGATCTCATTTAGGAGTCCATGTTGGCTGCATTTTCCTTTTCCTTCATGTTTCCTAAAGCCAAGCATGGTATAAGATGTATTTAATCAAATGTTTTTTCCTCATCTATTTGTATTTAAAATTAGTCTACTTAGCACCTCTAACTAAATATAGAATGGTTAACAGTATTCTTTTTAAGTACATTTAAAGAATAGATATCGGATTGGAAATGTAGCTAAGTGGTAGGTACTGGATTTGATCCCTAGCACCACCAAAAATAATGAAAAGTGAGATCTTTAATTTCTAGTCTTGCCCCCCTCCCCATTCTTCAAAACACATAAATTCTAAACATAAATCCTTAATAATATATATTTTATTCTTTATATAACCCATAGCTATGTCTGATTTGTTGACAGGTTGTGACATTTTTTTCTTGTCCCAGCTGTGTGGACAGTGCCACACACCCTTCCAAACAACAACGGCTCTTGCGTGCATTTTCCAGTGTTTCTTTTGTCAGAGAGTCCAGCAGAGCCGCAGGTCTTCAAGTGCCAGCCCTGAGCTGAGTGAGGAGCACCCAGCAGAAATGGTGAAAATGACCAAATCCAAAACGTTCCAAGCTTACCTACCAAACTGTCACCGAACGTACAGCTGTATCCACTGCAGAGCCCACCTGGCCAATCACGACGAGCTGATCTCCAAGGCAAGTGGTTTGAGTTAAAAAAAAAAAACTCATGAAACACACTTAACACAATTATCATTTGTCATCATGGTACTTACTTAGTATACCACATGACTTCCTGAATTTGCTGTGTTGTAAAGGTCTACAGCCTTCTGGGCAGTGTTGGTGAAAGTTTTGTGCATGATTAAATGTGGCTACAACAACATCTTTTTTTTTTCTAATTTTTTTTTTTTAGTTGTAGGTAGACATAAACTTTTGTTTTATTTACATTTTTTCTGTGGTGCTGAGGAGCACACCCAGTGCCTCATACATGCCAGACAGGCACTCTGCTACCACTGAGCCACAACTCCAGACCCTACACCAACATCTTTATTGTAATCTTGGCACAATAGATGGGTATTGGAGAACTGGGCATCTGGAATTCTTGTAGATTACTAAGAGCAAGATGAGTCAGTTATTTGTCAAAGCAGTGAAATTAATATGAAATCAGAGAACATGAAAGAAATGAAGTCTATAGAAAATCTGTAGGACTAGTTTAGAGTAATTAACAAGGAAAGAGGCTGCTCAGATAAATGCCCAGAGCACTGGGTGTAAAGCTCAGTGATAGACCACCTGTTTAGCATACCCAAGAGCCTGGGTTCCATCCCTAGAACCAAAAAGAAAAAAATATAAAGAGAAGAAAATGCCTAGGGGGACATGCCCACCTGTGCCATGGTCTGTAAGAGCCCACGACTAAAGCTGTAGGTAGTCTGTACCTCCAGACCCAAGACATAAATAAGCATCCTCTGGTTCCTCATTCTATTGAGCTCTTTATTAGCAGATGTAATGGTTATAATCAACCAGATGTGAACATTTAGAATAATACAAATATAATGGAAAAGCGAATATTCATTCTGGGAACCAGTCTTCACCCCCCACCTATCTACCTGGGCTACTTTGAAAGTCTCATCAGGAAGTTGCACCTTCCAAGAATCTCTTTGTAGGTTTATTGTTTAACTCAATTTGAATAACGTTTATCTCTTGCATTTTCAATAGTAATAGATGTTATTTCTGTTTATCATCTGAAATAAAACATGTTAAACAAGGCAGATTTTCTGCTCTCTTTGCTTTTATGGCTCCTTTTTCCATCCAGAACTTTCAGGAAAGTGGTAGAAGCTCCTGAGGCACCTCATTTTCTGAGACAGGTGCAGTGGGTAAAAAGGTGTCATGAGATAATGACTGGCAGAGCACTCTGGGCCTTCAGTTAGAGACTGTGGGGCTTGGTAATCTCACTGAGCAATGACACCTGCTGTTAGCCATGACCTTTCACCTGAACAGACAGTGCACCAGTATGGTCTTTTTTTCTGGAGCATCCTGGGTGTATCAGTCATTAGAGGTAGCCAGAAGGAATTTTAGATGCTTACTTCAAAGAACCCTAGACCATAGCTGTTTTTAACATTACATCAAGAGCAGAAGGCAAGCACTCTACCACTAAACTACTTCCTTAGTTGTTCCTATTTTACATTGATACTGGGTCTGGCCAAGTTGCTCATGCTGGCCTCAAACTTGGCAACCATCCTTCCTCAGTCTCCATTAGCTGGGGTCACAGGCATGTACCACCATACCCATCCCTCTCCTGGCTCTAATTTACAGAAGTTAGCTGACCCACATTCTGGTCAGACTAACATCTGAATCTGAATTGCAGAGCTGCTTCTGTCATTTCCTGTTGGAAACTAAAGACTTGCATAATAGGCAAGAAAACTAGTCTAGAAAACTGAAGGCTAATGAGGATGTGCAAAAGTTCTCCCCCTTCTCCATACTGGTACTGAGGATTGAACCCAAGGGTGATTCACCATTAAGTTATATCCCCAGGGTTTATTATTTTTTGAGGCAGGGTCTTGATAAATTTCCTCAAATGTGCAATTTTTGTGTTAGCCTCCCAAGACTGTTCACTGGGATTATAGGTTTGTGCCACTATGCCTGGCCAGGATATGCAAAAGTTCTATAAAACAGTTATTAGTTAAATTGAACACAGAATGATATTTCAAATCCTAGAAAATCACTTAAGGAAATACCCCTTTTAAGTCTGAAAGCTGTATTGTAAAATTAAAACATTCCTGGTTGGCTGGGTACTTGTAGCTCATGCTACCACTTAGCATGCTAGAGGCTCTGGACTCAACCCCCAACCCAAAACAAAAACAAAAACTCAAATGCTGTTTGCATCAAGTGAGGTGGAAAAAAGTCAGATCTCAGTGGCTTAAAATAAAGATTTATTTCATGCTCAGATGAGAGATGTCTATTAAGCAGGTGCTCTCCCTTTGTTTTTTGTTTTTTGCTTTTAATTTTAAAAGAAATTATTGCTTATAATTATCCATTAAAGTAATGCTTAGCCAGGCACAGTGGCACACACCTGTAATCCTAGTGGCTGGGGAGGCTGAGGTGGGAGGATCCACGAGTTCAAAGCCAGCCTCAGCAATTTAACAAGACTTTAAGCAATTCAAAGTCTGTCTTTAAATAAAGTACAAAAAGGGCTGGGAATGTGACTCAGTGGATAAGTGCCCCGGATTCAATCAAATATAAACTAATGCTTATTGGGCCAGGCATGGTGGCACACACCTATAATCTCAGTGACTCAAGAGGCTGAGACAGGAGGATCACAGGTTCAAAGCCAGCCTCACAAATTAGGAAGACCCTGTCTCAAAAAATAAAAAGGAGTTGTAATCCCAGTGGCTCTGGAGGCTGAGATAGCCTCAGCAGCAGTGAGGTGCTAAGCAACTCAGACACTGTCTCTAAATAAAATACAAAATAAGTCTGGGGATGTGGCTCAGTGGTTGAGTGCTCCTGAGTTCAATCCCCTATACCAAAAAATTAAAAATAAAATAAATTTAAGAAAAAGACTTTTGTTGCTCAGTGGTTAAGTGCCTCTGGGTTCAATCTCCTATACACACACAAAAAAGTACTGGGCCAAGAGCTATGGTACACACCTGTAACCCAGCCGTTCAGGAGGCTGAGGCAGAAAGATTGCACGTTTGAAGCCAACCTGAACAATTTATCAGGACCCTATATCAATAAGATAAAAGGGWCTGGAGATGTAGCTCAGTGATAGAGTGCCTGCACAAGACCCTGGGTTCAATCTCCAGCACCATCAAAAAGGAAAAAAATATATATGCAAAGTAAAAGGAGAATTGGTCTTTCCGCCTGCCTTGTTCTACCTCTATTCCTTGCAGTTATCCCTCTTAATGGCTTGACAATATGATGTTTTTTCTTTGGTCTATAGAAACCACATTATTCACTCTAAGTTACTTAGGGCCTTGCCAAGTTGCTGAGGCTGGCTTAGAACTTGAGATCTTCCTGCCTGAGTCTCCCCAGCCACTAGGATTACAGCGAGCACCACCACGTCCAGCTCTTCCATAGTAAATACTTAAACGTGGGATTGCTGGGTCATACAGTTTGTGCCTTTTCTTTTTCCTTTATCTTTTGGTACTGGGGATTGAACTCAGGACACTCAACCACTGAGCCACATCCCCAGCCCTATTTTATATTTTATTTTAGAGACAAGGTCTCACTGAGTTGCTTAGTGACTCACTAATTTGCTAAGACTGGCTTTGAACTCACTATCCTCCTGTCTAGCTGCCTGAGCTGCCCAGATGTGCCTTTTATATTTTGATGTTGTCAAATTATGTCCCAGTAAGCATTCCTCACAGCCTTTTGACTTTAAGTTAAGGTGATGGGCAAAAAAAAATTTGGTTTGCATTTCTTTTGATTATTTTGGAGGTTGACCATGCTGTGTGAGTCATTTGAGCCTGGCACCAAAGCAGATGAACCCTCCCATGGGGCATTTTTTCCTATTCAAGAGAGGCACACTACCTTACTCTGATTCATTTACATTGAACCATTTTTGAATATATGAATATACTAGATCAGTTTCTTGGCTGGAAGATCATTGACTCCTAGGAATGGATCATCTTAGACCATGACCATTTTTTGGTTTTGTTTTAGACTAACTTTGAACTCCTTCCCTTAAGTGATCTTCCTGCTTGAGCCTCCCAAGTAGCTTAGACTACAGGTGTATACCATTATGCCTGGTGCTGTATTGCCACTTTGTTCCAATACAGTCACTTTCAGAATGTTGGAGCAACAGAGTAATTCACTTCCCAACTCAATATGGATGAAAAATCAGTTTGTTTACCTCATTTATTATTAGAGTTTTGGAGGGGCATCTGTCCTGTTCTTTGTAACCTCTTCTGGTGGAGTTAATGGAACCCTGGTTAGCATGGTGCTCTAGGGACTACTACTTCCACAGGACCACCAAGACTGAGCAGCTCTCTCACCTTGTTCCACAATCATTCCAGAATGCAGAACTCCTCAGGGTCTTATCACAACCAATCTTCTAACACCTTCTTCTTCTTTACAGTCCTTTCAGGGAAGTCAGGGAAGAGCCTACCTCTTCAATTCTGTGTGAGTACTTGCTGTCTGGCAGGTGGCCTGGGGTTCCCATCGTGTGGCATTGATCACTTCTGTCCAACCCGTGTTCAATTATGCATAGCTGGAATATATAAATGGAGTTCCACCTGTGGACTGGAATTACCCAGCCACTGCCTTTATATGACCTGAAAGAATTTTAGTTTTCTATGGCTGGGAGTTTTTGAAAATTTAGTATAAGGACTTTAGTTTCCTGCAGTTTATCCTGTGTTGGGATCCTTGTGGGGAGAGAAAAAGTTGCTCCTGGGCCAGGGGGTGTAGTTCAGTGCTAGAATGCTTACCTAGCATGTGTGAGGTCCTGGATTTCATTTTTTTTAATATTTATTTTTTAGTTATAGTTGGACACAATACTTTTATTTATTTATTTTTATGTAGTGCTAAGGATCAAACCCAGGGCCTTGCACGTGCTAGGCAAGCGCTCTACCGCTGAGCCACAACCCTAGCCCCTGGATTTCATTTTTTAACACTGCAAAAAGAAAAGAAAAATTCTTTCTCATTAAAGGTGGTAGCTGGCAGGAGGTTGGGGAGCTGAAAAGGTGCAGTGCTGCTTTCTGGTGAACTTTCAATAATTGGGGAGGGGGGCAGGGTGGGAGGAAGCCAGCAGTGGGGTCTGGGAATATGGGCCTTCAGGGTGATCACCTGTGTCCCTACAGGGTGAACGTGGGCTGCGGTCCTGCTGAGGAGAGGGTCCTTCTCACTGGGCTGCATGCAGTTGCAGACATCTACTGTGAGAACTGCAAGACCACACTCGGGTGGAAATACGTGAGTACCCACCTCTTCTAACTGGTGTGCTGTAATGTATACAATATGCCACACATGCACACACAGCTTATGCAACTGAGTCAAACCTCCCTCTGGAGTGGTATCCGTCAATGACATATTTTCAGCAGTTTCTTTGGAAGCTGGTTAAGGCACAGGACCAGTCATTCATGGGGCTGCCCCAGGTTCCAAGAGCCTGAAAGGCACTTCCATGAAGGGAGTTCCATTGTTTGGAGCAAGTTCAGCAGACTACTCAGTGTCTGGGCTCAGAGGCAGAAGTTACCCAAAGACTCTTCTCCCGGGGCTCTTCTTTTTTTCCCTGGACCATGAGCTGATGGTTGCCATCTCTGCTCTGTCTCTAGCCTTCATCTSTCCATTCCTTCTCTGACGACACGGTGAATCTGAAAGATGATAAGCCTGGACCTTCTTGCCTACTCTAAGGCCTTTCCTCCTCCCTGGTCCCCTAGCACTCAGGTGTCCGAGGCCAGTGAGGATGATTGGTCTCCTCCTAACACTGTCTGCTGCCCGCCTTCATCTGCTGAGCCCTCTCTGTCCCAGGCCACATGAGCCTGGCATGCTTCTGATCCCTTCTGTGTTGGCAGCTTCCAAAGGTCCAACTCTGCCCCAGCTTCTCTCCTAGCAAAAGCCACCTGTCCATCTTATGGAGCCCCACCCTTGACAATATCATTTGAGAGGGCTGTTACACATGGAGCTCTCCTTTTTTTAAGGTATTTGCTACATTATTTGTGGCTCCAGAGTTTTCCAGGTCAGGGCTGCCTGATCTCCCTCTTTCTTGAATTTCTGACCATCTCTGATTCTCCATAAAATGTGAGGGAACACAGAGCCCTTCTTCCAGAAGCCCTGCCATCCCTTCATGGATACCATACCATGTGTCTCCTCTATGGCTATACCTGCTACTTTCCTACTGGGACCATCTCTTCTGTGCCTACCAGACAACTCACCCTAGTCATTTATGTCCCCAACATAGGTATGTATCATGAGGCCATATACTCAGTATTAAAAAATGATAGGACGGTATCCATTGTCCTTGCATAAAAGGCCTGCTCCTGAGCATTTTTGACCTGTTTTTTACTGATGTCTCTGTGCTTCATATCAATCATATCTCCTAAATTGCCCTATGCATAGTACATGTTCAATAAACAGATTTTTTTTTTTTTTTTTTTTTTTTTGGTGTGCTGGTGATAGAACCCACAGCCTCAAACCAGCTAAGCACATGCTTGCCCAGTGAGCTATATCCCAAATCCTGGTCTTTGAAGGTTTGAATTAACACTGCACAGATGGGCACAGCAGTATAGGCCTGTAATCCCAGGAGACTGAGGCAGGAGGATTGCAAGTTCACAGCCAGCCTTGGCAATTTGCAAGACCCTTGTCTCAAAAAATAAGAAGGGCAGTGTGCGTAACTCAATGGTAAACCACCTCTGGGTTAAATCCCCAGAACCAAATTAGGGTGGCCTTTAATCCCTATTTTTGTAAGAAAAGGAAAGCCAGGCATGGTGGTACATACCTATAATCCCAGCAGCTGGGGAGACTGCATTTTCTACCCGGTCTCAAAATAAAAATTGCTGGGCTTGTGGTGCAGTGGTAGAGTGCCCCTGGGTTCAAACCTCATCACCAAGAAAAAAAAAAAAAAAGGTATAATGAAGTTGAAAAATGAAAGATTCTGTCCTGAAACCTTCTCTCTACTTTTTTTCCCCCCCTCCCAAGGAACATGCCTTTGAGAGCAGTCAGAAATATAAGGAAGGAAAATTTATTATTGAGCTTGCCCACATGATCAAAGACAATGGTTGGGAGTAAAGTGGAAACTTTCCATTCTCTTGAATACTATTTTGTGAAAGAGACTGAAGTGTAATGGAGATGTAAGAGCATCCCGGATGACAATATTTCTTGAACTTTGACCTCACAGGCTAGCCGTGCTTTGACACTCAAAGGCCTCTCTTGGCCATCTCCTTGGGTAAGGCATCCCCAATTTGTGTCCTGTTTATGTACATGGTTGTTTCTGAAAGTTTGCAATGATCTTTTTCTAACTTCTCAAGTTCTAGAAAAAGAATTAACCAACTGATGACTTATTTGCCTAATTAATACCTTCTTTTAACCTATGCCTTCAATATAGTTTGGCTGTGCTTTTTCATGTTCAATAGAAATCTAAAACTAAGTTCCTAAAGACCAGAGAGGCAAGGTCTCTTTCAAGAGCAAGTCTCACTTCTCCCTTTTTTAGAGTAAGGTAGCTTGTTTTACCCCAATTCTCAAAACTACAAATTGGTTATTCCTCCTACATGTAAACCGTAAGGCATAGTGTCCATTTAAGAATCTTTCAGAAGCAGTCAAAAATTTATCCACCCAGAGTGGTTTTTTTTTGTTGTTGTTTTAGCCTGTTCAAAAATGGAACATAACCAATACATTTTAGATAAGCTATAAATAGAGAAATATGTCTAATGAACATTTTGTTTCTTTAAGGCAATAGATTCCTTATCTAGAAAGCAAGTGAACTAATCTCTAGAAAAGACCATCCCAGGGCCCTGCAGAGGCCATTACGAGGTGATAACCTCACAGGTCTGGACCTGGAGGTTTTACCCTCAGTAGTAACAGTGGCTCACAAGTCTGGCAGTTGCTGAGTGGCTGGTTCATGTTATTATAGAATAGCATGCTGGACCAAGTATGAAGCTGGATTTCATTTTCTACCTGGACGTACTTGAAGAAAAAGAATTATTTTTGCATATGAAAGAGGTCAGAACCAGCAGGAAAACTTCCTAACTTGAGATTTGCCAGATTAAAATTTCTTTAGAAAAGGTTAAAAATTGCAAGATGGGTTTAAATGTTGTAAAGGAAAGGTGTTTGGCTTGCTGGGTAAGTCACCTTTCCCCTTTCTGGTGCTGTCATGCGGGCTGATGTGGAAGGGACCTGGGCAGTCTCCCAAATGCTGGGTTTCTGTCACAGATTTTTTTTTAAGTCATGGCCTACCATCCTCCTGTGCCTCTGCAGTGCATGGGCACTATTCAAGGGTATCAGCCGATCTGCAGAGAATGGAGATTAGAAAACATTTCTAGATAAGTTTTGGGTTTCAACAATTTGTACCCCAGCTTAGGACAGAGGGGTAGAAAAAAAGGCTGGTGGTAGGGAGGCAGAGAGCTAGAAGAGCAGTGTGCTTTGATAGCTCTCAGCCTAGCAAATGGCTGTGAAACCGTCTCTGGACAGTTCCAGCTCCCCAGCTGCCCAGGTCCCGTCACCAGTGCAGGCACTGGGTTGCCACCTGGCTCCCGTTCAGTGCTCATCCCAGAGCCTACCCTTTGGTGCCATCTCTTTGCCCAAGACTAGATGCCTTGGAATGTGGGAAATGCATTGTCCTGGGTTCAGTGACTTAGTAGGCATGTCACCAAGCCATTATCAGCTTAGTAGGAGTAGCAGTGCCAGGTTACTTTAAGCACATCTTCACCTTAAAAAAGCAAGGACATCTTTGCACAGCCTGTAAGCCTCTGCATCTGGTGGTGGTCCAGCAAGCTGCTTTCTCTTGAGCTAGTCTCCTGTAGACTGAGGCTGGCTTATTGTGTTCCTGTATTAAGTTAAACAGCTTTCCACCCTGAAGTGGCCAGAGCCTGGAGTTGTTACTCCCAAGGTCTGAAATCTAAAGATGCTTCACTTGTGAGTGGCACATGAAGTAGCAAGGTCCGTGGCTTCTGTCCATTATGTGGAATTGTAAAGGGGAAAGACATCTTCCTTAATTGACAAATGAGCACTAAGTGAAAAATTAGCTAACAGTGACTTCCTTTCTAGTCTTCATTCCTTTTGCAAGTGGGAACTTAGCCTTGGAGGCTCAGAGAATGGGGAGAAATGATATGGCTTCACTAGCCTGCCTAGAGTGCAGCCCGAGTACGATTCCATAAATGTTTTACTTAAATTGAAGAGACTTTTCTAGAATTTTTCTGACCCATTTTTGTATATACTAAGGTTATATTTAAAGCTTTTATATGTTCTGGGCAAGTTTACTGCTCCTTTCATTTGAGCACTTTGGTTTTTGTATCGTCTTTTGTGATGGCATTGATTGAAAATTTTTTACTAGTACTCTTATGACTTACTTTGTACTTTTGTTGGTAATGGATACCAACACAACTTTTATCATTTTTTGTTGATGGTGGTGGTCTTCTGAGAAATATAAGTTTCTTTTTTAAACTGTAAACCAAATGAACTGACCATGAGCTGGCATCAGGGAAAGTAATACTCACAAGACCACAACCAGATGTGCTGGTGAAGTGCTGGAATATTCCACCCTCTTAAATTCCTAAACAATAACTCTCATCCCATGACTTTTATTTATTTAAATTTTTTCCTTGAGAATATTTGGAGTTGTATCTAGGATTATAAATACATTTGTAGTATATTCTGGCACAGTACATTTGCTTTAGAAACGTGGTTTAGTTTTGTCATTTTATATATGTACACTCATAGTATTTTTATATCTTAAAATTTATTCTTGATGGCATCTGTCAGATATTCAAAAGGATCAGAGATGAGATTTTTTTCCAAAAGTCTTTTTATTCTACCTGATGATCTCATCAGGCAGTTACAAAATCCAAGTGGTTTAATATCTAGAAGGACATAATTTAAGCTCTAAAATGAACTACAGAAATATAAACCTTCTGTCAAAGGACTTGGTCAGGCCTGTCTTCTGCCCTGGAGGGCAAGTTTGGGTGAGGATGTGGCCCTCCCCTTGGGGCAGGTGCAGATCACTGGATAAGGCTGGATGGACAGATGGACAGCAGCCTGGAGGCAGCAGGAAGCTTCGCTTCAAGGAGCAAGGATGATCAAGCTCAAGTGCATACACCGCCTTCAGTTTCCCCTACCCCAAGCCATGCCACTGGCCTTTGGTCCTATGTTTGTGTGAGGTTTATAAATAAAGCTTCTGATGTCAGACTTCTTGTTTTACATGTTGCTCATTGTTGAGGAGGCTGTGCCCTTAATGAGGGATGAGCCCCAGGTTTCCTGCAGAGCTCACCAGAGCAAAGGGCTGTTTTGGGGTCTCAGAGCTGCTGGAGTCCTACTGCTGTGTCACACTTGCCTGGTCGCGAGCTTTTGACTATGACCAGAGAAAAGGATAAGAGTACAGTTAAAATAATGGCTGAAGAGGCAGGCAGCACCCTCATGCATGATCAGAGTCAGTCATATAGTCCCCTCCAGCATTCTCCCTTCCCCACCCCGTCTACAGGCTTGTGTCTGCCTAGTCTGTCACTGCATCCTATTGAGCATTTTCTTGCAAAAGTGAATTATCAGACAAGTGGCCAGAGATAAACTGAGTAATGAAAATCTGGTGGGAGATGTGAAGAGGTATGTAATGGGAGTGCTGCAGGGCCACCAAGGAGCCCAGGGTTCTGACTGATGGGCATGGGTGGCTACAGAGGAAGAGGCTGGAGAAGGTGGAGCTGGCCTGTGGGGATGAGGTATAGACCTGTTCTCAGCCAAAGAAAAGCCAGTGGCTGGCATGAAGCAAGATTACAGTGGGAAAATGTGCCTCATGAAGATCACTTGGCAGCAACAGTATGGAAGTGGGCAAGGGCATGCCTGCCATCCAGAGGGCAAAGGGCTCAGGCCTTTGGTGTCAGTATCAGAAGAGCTCAGGGTATATTCTAGAACCAAGAGTGCTGATGGATTCAAGGTTGTAAATGAGGAAAGAGAAACACAAGAATCAAGCCTACGTTAGAATTTTAATGTGATGAGATTGGAAGAGGTGATAGACCAAGGACAGACACATCATCTAATAGGTCTGGTGCCAGAGAATACTGACTTGACACTCTCCCCAGAGGCAGAAACCATGCTCCCGAAGAGGTGTTTAGAGGAAACCAAGGTATCAGGGACTAATATCAGGAGACTAGAAGCTAGGCTGCCAGACTGAAGAGGGAACAAAAAGTGATCAGGAACAGGTGGGTGGAAATTTTTTGGACACTTTTCACAGAAAAATGGGTCAATGGAAGGAACCCTTAAGTCAGGAATGCTGAGGGAACTGGCCTGGCAGAGGAGCTGGTGACTGAGAAGCAGGGTCTCAGCAGTGAGGTCCAGTGCTGTCCCCTATCCTCATCACAGCAGGGGCTATAAGCCTCATGAAGTTTGACTCGGGTGGAGAGACAAGGCAGCTTAATACATCCAAAGGTGAGCGTGCCCAGTTCCAAGCAAGGAGTGGCAGAGTATTGTCAAGGCTCTATTCCAGAGTTAGAAGCACCAGAGCATTTGTCGAAACAGACTAGGGGACTGGGGTTGTGGCTCAGAGGTAGAGCACTTGCGAGGCCCTAGGTTTGATCCTCAGCACCACATAAAAATAAATTTATTAAACATATTGTATCCAACTACAACTAAAAAAAAAAACTAGGGAAAGCCTGGGGATGAGGCTCGGGATAAGTGGTAGAGTGCTTAGGCCCTGGGTTTGATCCCCAGTACGCTTCAAAAAACAAAAACACTAGGGAGTCCCAGCTCCCAGAAGCTCAGGATCATGTCTGGAGTTGTCTGAGAATTTGTGTTTCTAACAAGGTCCCAAGTGGTACCAGAAGATCAGAGCATATGGACTGTCCTGAGATGACAGAAAAAAGGGTAAGGAAAGCACAGGAGGAGACAAGGCCTTTCTCACTAACCTGGGCCTGCCCACAGGAGACCAGAGCCCCATGTGGGGTCTAGGGCAGGACCCAAGGCTGGGCTCAAGCTTGGAAAGAAGCAAGGAACCCCAACACCAGGTGAAGGATGGGGAAGCCAAGGTCCCAGGGGCCAGTAAAGGGGACCCAGGCAACAGGCAAGAGCTTTATTGGATCACAGCCTGAAAGATGGGCAGAAAGGTCAGGAATACAGGCACAAACCTCCCCCAACCCTTCATCCCTACCAGGATCCAGAGTAACCACCTGCTGCTACCAGGAGCTGAAGTCCCCAAAACCCCGGCTGGGCTTTTTCTTGGATATGGAGGCAGCTGTACTGGTTGATGGTTCTTCTTCAGCTGCTCGTTTCCTGAGAAAACAAACAGGCTACAGCAGCCACACATGTGCCAGGAGGCCATGCCCTCCCACATCCCTCTCAAAATGAACTGAAACCTACTACTTACTGGCCCTCCCCTCATAGAAATCCCATAACTCCCAGTGCTGAGATTCTTTGGCCTGCACAGAAGCCCTGCCCAAACCTGTATGGAATAGTCCCTGTGGCTGCAGTGACCTCCAGGGCACAAGTTCAGTCCCACGTCTATATTAAGTTTTCTTACCACTGCCTGATCTGCCTACGGGAGCACTGTAGAAAATGGGTCCTAGCTTTTGGGAGGGATATGGCAGAGCCACCTGCCCTACTCACGTGGCAGCTGGATTGATGTACTTGCCCACCCCTTGGCGATATGTCTGGGGGCCCTGGCTCCCAGGCTGAGGCTGGCTGGACTTCACCTTGGCCTCTGGGGCCACTTCAAGCTGTGTCTTCTTCCGCTCCTGTGCAATCTGGAGAGGAACAGGACTGTGGGTGACCTGGAGTGTCTTGGAGATGTGGAGGTCCTTCTGCCCCCGTGAGGAATGACATAGCTTGCCCAAAGCCCTCCCAGGGTGGTAGCACTGTGCCCTCCTTACCTGGGCATCTGCCTCCTCATAGGGGTCTACAAACACTGTGGTGGCATCAATGCGGACCTCCTCCTGGTGGCATATGGGCAAGTTGAGTAAACAGCAGGCTCCCCTGCACAACTAGGCAGTGGCCCCTATGCTTTCCCTGGCTACATACCTTAGGGCGGTCAGTTTTGGGGTCGCTTTCCACATTCTCCATGGCTGTCAGTGTGTCAAAGCCCCCAACAACCCTGGAGCAGAGGGACAGGTGAGTATGCATGTGCCCTGGGGCAGCACACCTCAAAGTCCCTGAGGCACACCAGAATGGGAACTGGCCCAAGATATGGGGCCCCATGAAATCACCACCCAATCAGATTGGCCTGACTCCTTGGGCAGCAGCAGAGCTGCTGGAGGGGCTGAAAGAGAGAAGGTAAAGTAAATAGACCATAACTGGGTCCAGATACAACTCCCAGTTATTTGGATAGAACTACATCTGTTTTATGCCAGAATCCCAGATGAYCATGTGGCCCACCAAGCTGGAGATATCATCTAGGCCTTTATGGGAAAGTCTGCCAACCCCCACACCTGGAGCATGAAGAGAAAGATAGGACCTGGCCCTGACCTCCAACCTGGGTACTATCCAAAGGGTACCCAGAGTGGGAAAGTGGAAGGTCTGAGCCAGGGCAGCTGGCCAGGTTGGGCTGGGACTTGTCTCTTCTTGTCAACCCAACAGGTCTGGAGAGCTCTCTCCACTCTCCACAGAAATACCCCATACCTCACTCTACAGCCACAGCCTCAGCAGAGACATTACAAGGGCACAACAGGCACAAGCTCAAGTTAGGAACAGGCAGTGAGAGATCCCAGCTGGGGAAAGAATGGCCTGGCCCAAGTGGACACCCCCAACTTCACGCAGCAGCTGCTCTTACCTTCCAAAGATGGTGTGCTTCTTGTCCAGGTAAGCACAGGAACGGAATGTGATAAAGCTGGGGAAGAAGGAAGAGAGGTTGAGGGAATTCTGTGAGCTATCCCACCCAGCCTAGCTCTTCTCAGTGACTGCTGGGTCCATAGCAGGAGCCCACTGCCCTCCAGGGTCTGCTCTGCGAACCCACAGCTTCTGCATGTATATCATGCTCATCTGACTCCCACGTACTGCCTGTCCAAAACAGGTTGTTAGCTAAGGCCCACCAAATTAACCCCAGATCTGTGGCTCCCCAGAATAAAGCACAGCAGTTGGCCTCCTTGGCTGTTACCAACCTCCTATTGGGTAGACCCCATGCCCTGCTTGAGCCTATTCAAGTGACTGCTTTAAGAAGAAGCCAGCTGGGATGAGAGAACCAGAGCCCTGTACTACCATAAGCCCTGCTGGAAGGATGAAGGACACCAAACCAGGAGAAAGGAGGCTGCCACGCAAGAGTGGGAGTAAAGGAATTGAGAAACTTGGGTAATATAAATACACAAAGACCCAGAAAATGACTGCATCTAATCTGATATAAAAATGGGGAAGAATTAAAATGCACAATGACACTGACATGTGAGAAGGCCGGGGTGACTGGAAGGAAAAAGCTCTCCAGGTGTCTTGTCTAGGGGAAGGTAGAGATGTAGTAGTAACTTTAGACTTTACCTCAGAAGTTAAAACATCTAACTTTCAAACAAGGAGAAAGAAGAGGAAATAAAAAATAAAAATTAAAAAAAAAACATAAAAAGACTGACTTGAAAGCACAAAGTAAGATCCTAGGAAACAGTATACCAACTGGAAGTTAAGCACACACTTAAGACTGTCAGAGAAAGAAATTAAAGGGATACGAATAGGAAAAGGAGAACTCAAACTATCCCTATTTGCCAACGACATGATTCTATATTTACAAGATCCAAAAAATTCCACCAGAAAGCTTCTAGAACTCATAAACAAATTCAGTAGATCTTATAGAACATAAAATTAACACCCATAAACCAATTGTATTCCAATATACTAATGATGAATCAGCTGAAAGAGAAATCAGGAAAATTATCCCATTCACAATATCCTCAAAAAACATTCAATAATTGGGAATTAATCTAACAAAATCAGTAAAAGACCTCTACAATGAAAACTACAGAACACTAAAGATAGAAATTAAAGAAGACCTTAAAAGATGGAGATCTTCCATGTTCTTGGATAGGCAAAATTAATATTGTCAAAATGGGGACTGGGGATGTGGCTCAAATGGTAGCGTGCTTGCCTAGCATGCATGAGGCACTGGGTTTGATTCTCAGCACACATAAAAATAAAATAAAGATATTGTGTTCACCTAAAAATAAAAAATAAAAAAACTAAAAAATAAATATTTTAAAAAAATATTGTCAAAATGGCCATACTACCAAAAGGGCTACACAGATTTAATGTAATTCTTATTAAAATTCTAATGACGTTCTTCATAGAAACAGAAAGGGCAGTCATGAAATTTATTTGGAAAAATGAGGCCCAGAATAGCCAAAATAATCCTTACCAAGAAAAGTGACACAGGAAGCATCACAATATCAGACATTAAATTATATTGCAGAGCTCTAGTAACAAAAATAGCATGGTATTGGCACTGAAACAGACACAAAGACCAATGGAACAGAATAAAAGATGCAGAGACATAACGACATAAATACAGTTATCTAATACTAGACAAAGGCACCATAAACATACATTTGAGAAAACAGAGTGAAATCCATATGAAGTAGAATGAAATTGAACCCCTATCTCTCACTCTGCACAAAACTCAACTCAAAGTAGATCAAGGACTAAGGCATTAGAGCAGAGACCCTGTGCTTACCAGAAGAAAAAATAAGCTCGACTCTCCATCCTGTTGGCTTAGAAACTGACTTACTCAACAAAATTCCTAAAGCACAAGAAGTAAAATCAAGAATCAATAAATGGGATGGTATCAAACTAAGATGCTTCTTCATAGCAAAGGAAACAATCAAGAATGTGAACAGAGAGCCTTCAGAATGGGAGAAAATCTTTGCCAACTGCACCTCAGCTAGAGCATTAATGTCTAGGATATACAAAGAACTCAAAAAACTTAACATCAAAAAAAACAAAATAACCCAATAAATAAATGGGCAAAGRAACTGAACAGGCACTTCACAGGAGAATAAATACGAATAGTCAAAAAATAAATGAAAAAAATGTTCAACATCTCCAGCAATTAAAGGAATGCAAATTAAAATTATAACGAGATTCCATCTCACTCCAATCAGAATGGCAATTATCAAAAATACAAATAGGAGCTGGGGCTGTGGCTCAAGTGGTAGCGTGGCATGCCTGGCATGCGTGTGGCCTGGGTTTGATCCTCAGCAGCACATACCAACAAAGATGTTGTGTCCGCCGAGAACTAAAAAATAAATATTAAAAATTCTCTCTCTCTCTCTCTGTCCTCTCCTCTCTCACTCTCTCTTTGAAAAAAAAAAAAAGAAAGAAAGAAAGAAAGAAAATGTGGGATATATACACAATGGAACATTACTCAACCACTCAACTATAAAGAAGAATGAAACTGGAGACTATCATGCTAAGTGAAAAAAGATAATCCCAAAAAAACAAAGGCTGAATGTTCTGATATGTGGATGCTACCATACAGTAAGAGAGGGGGAAGGAAGAACATTATTCTTTGGATTAGACAAAGGGGAATGAAGGGAAGGGAGAAGGATGGGAATAGAAAAGACAGTAGAATGAATCAGACAAAACTTTCCTATGTTCATATATGACTATCTGACCAATGAAATCCACATCATGTTCAACTACAAGAATGGGATCCTAATTCAAATAAGTTATACTCCATGTATATATATTATATCAAAATACAATCTACTGTCATGTATATATTTTTTTTTTTTAAAGAGAGAGAGAGGGGCTGGGGATGTGGCTCAAGTGGTAGCACGCTCGCCTGGCATGCGTGCCGCCCGGGTTCRATCCTCAGCACCACATACCAACAAAGATGTTGTGTCCGCCGAGAACTAAAAAATAAATATTAAAAATTCTCAAAAAAAAAAAAAAGAGAGAGAGAGAGAACTTTAAAATTTATTTTTTAGTTTTCGGCGGACACAGCATCTTTGTTTGTATGTGGTGCTGAGGATCGAACCCAGGCTGCACGCATGCCAGGCGAGCACGCTACCACTTGAGCCACATCCCCAACCCCTGTCATGTATATCTAAAACAAACAAAAAATACTGTCAGGATAAACTAAAATAAAACAAAATCCAAGTGTATGCCTTTAAACAAAAGCTCTACAAAGTTCAGAATATAAAAAGCTGAAAGTAAAGAGGTAGAAGAAGACATCAAACAGGAAAGAAGGCAAGAAATGTCTTGGGGGAAGTCATCAGGAGGCACAAAGCTACTACCCAGGCATTGGAGTAGGTAGGCACAACCCTGCTGTGATAGCATCATGCTACCCCCATCCCTGACAACCAGCATAGGCCTTGCCAGCAAGACACACAGGACTGAACCACCAGGCCACACTGAACACATCACCTGGCCAAAGGAGCCCACCAGGCTGACCACACACAAGGCTCTCTAGTAAGTCTCATGTCAAACCTGCAATTATACAGACCTGAATTCTGCCTTCCAGCAGTTCTCTTGCTGATTTCTAACACAGTAAAAGAAGCTAAGAAAGAGAATAAAATGAGCCTGAAGAAAATAGGAAGGATACAAAAGAAAAAAGGTGAGGGAAAACAAAGATGAAAAAAAAAAAAGTCTAAAATTCTTTGAGTAAAATGGGAGTTCATAATCCACTTCAATCAAATATATGAAATATGATATGTCAAGAGCTTTGTAATGTTTTGAACAACTAATAATAAAAGGAAAAAGAAAAAAATAAATAAATAAAATTCTTTGAGGATACTAAAGTAAAAGTTATCAGAACTAGTACAAAACAATATTAGAAATAAAAAAAGAAGGCAAATGGCCCACATTGTTTTACAGTCTAGTTAATCTGAAAAATTATAAGTAAGGTGAAAAAAATAAGTAAGTCAGGAATATTGGTTCACATCTGTAATCCCAGCTCCTTGATAGGATCACAAGTTTGCAAGCAGCCAGGCAACTTAGCAAGACCCTGTATCAAAAAAAAAAAAAAAAAAAAAAAAAAAAAGCTGGGAAAAACAGTGTGCAGCTCAGTAGTAGAGTGGCCTATCCAGCAGATAGAAGACCCTGGGTTTATTTCCCAGTCACAAAAAAAAATAAACAATAGGACAAAACTTTCCTATGTTCATATGTGAATATATGACCAATGAAACTCCACATCATGTTCAACCACAAGAATGGGATCCTAATTCAAATAAGTTAGATTCCATAAACAAAGTACCCCCCCATAAAACAAAACAATAAAAACAAATGTACCCAAACTACTTGGAAATAAGAAAGTTAAGAGGAGGGCTGGGGATATAGCTCAGCTGGTAGAGTGCTTGCCTTGCATGCACAAGGCCCTGGATTCAATCCCCAGCACACAAAAAAAGAAAAAAGGCAAGAAAGAAAGCTGAGAAGAAATTAAAAGGGAAACTAACAATGACCAGCAAGCTGTGAATGAGGAATATACCCTTCAAATGTACAGGGCTGGTGGTATAGCTTGGTGAGAGAGTTTGCCTAGCTTATTTGAAGCCCTGTGTTTGATCCCTAGCACCTCTAAAAAAAAGTAGACTTCATCTGTCTTCATGGTAGAGAGTAAATAAAGCTAAAAGTGGAGAAAGTGAAAAGAAAACTGGAGGAAGCAATCAAAGGTAGAAACAGAAAACAATTACACAGAAACTAAAAACAGATAAATCTTTCGTGAACAAGGAAGGAACAGACTGCTTGGGAATGAGAAAGGAGATGTCAGCACTGAGACAAAGAGAACTCAGGATTCCATGGAAACAACTAAAATTCTGGGACACATGAGTCAAATTCTTGTCAAACAGACAAAATTCTGGCTGGGTGTACAGAGGAAGCCCTGAGGGAAGCAGCACATCATTATGTGCTGTCCTTGRCCAACTATTAACACCTGGGGACACTAGTATAATTTTAACTATTCTAGGCCATAAAGCCTGCTAGTGCACACCTTTCCCACCCATGCCTGATCAAGCCAGTTCACATGACCAAGACCACATTACAGTGAGGACAGAAAAATGATCATCTTGACAAAGGGTAATAAAAAAGTCTCTGGCAATTCATCTAACCTCTCCTAAAAACCAGGTCCAGTGACAAATATTATCAGATGGCAAAAACACATTTCAGAGTGGCAGGATGCCTATGTCTTCTGCCCCAACAGGTGACATCAATATGACTGATGCACATACAGGGAAGTGGACGCCAGATTTTACTGATGGACTTGAATATCTAGAAAACCCAGGAAATTCTTCTTAAAAACTCTAATTTTGATAAAGTAGCTAGATATAAAATAGTTTTACTCTACATAAGCAATAATCACCTACAATTTAGAAAAAATCCATTTACAAAAATACTACAAATTATAAAAATTCTTAAGTAGTTTTATTCAGGAAAACAGGGGACCATAAGAAATCGCACTAAAAGATAAAAAGACATACAGGCCAGGGGTGTGGCTCAGTGGTGCAAGCCCTGAGTTTGACCCCTAGCACACACATACAAAAATGACATATCTAAAAGTAAAGTCAAGCCAAATTCTTAAGTAATGAATAAATGAAATATGAATACCTATTCTTTAAAAATACAGGTGCCTGACTCCTTCCAACATAACCAGGCATCCACAGGCCCTGCTGCCATCCTCCTGTAGCCATGGTCCATACACAGAGGCCTCTCTGTCCCCCAACTACACCTCCAGCACCTGTCCCCTGCATGCCTCCCTCCCGATGTGCTAATCCAATACACTGAACTCCCCTGGCATGTCCTCCTGGTCACTCACACAGTCCGGTTCCATTGGCTTTCCTCTAAGAGGCCTTTACCTCTGATAAACTGCTGGATGCTGCTCTCATAGGAACACATGCAGTTCTAAATAGTAACTTGCTTGGGGATTTTTTTTTTTTTTTTTTTTGGCGGGGGGCAACAGTACTAGAGATCAAATCCAGAGCCTCATGCAAATTAGGCAAGCATTCTACCACTAAGCTACATCCCCAGCCTAGGGGGCTCCCCCTTTTGAGTGCAGGGATACACACTCAGCCTAGGTGTGCTATATAGTTTGGATTTGATTCGGGCCTAGCACAACCTTTAAGGAGAAGAGGAAGACACTGCAGGAAACTTTGGGTCCCTCCCCAGGTCATCCCATGGCAGCCCCACTGGGCCAACTGGACCCAGACTTACAACTGAGACTTGTTGGTGTTCGGCCCCGAGTTGGCCATGCTGAGGATGCCTCGTCCTGTGTGAGAGAGATTGGGCCGGAACTCATCTCTGAAGGGCTTTCCCCAGTATGACTCACCTCCTAGAACATGAAGAAAAACAGTCAGTTGGCAGCCCTAAAACCTGATTCCCAAGGGGTATTGGCAATTCATTGGAGCAGGAGTACTTTAGAAAAAGCCCTCGGACCTGAGGCATCACATTGCCAACCTCCCCTGGACTCCATCACCTTCACATTGGCTGAGTGTTGATCACTCAGCCCTGTCCCCAAGAAGCCAGGGAATAGAACTCTAAAGCTACAAGGCATTATCATTGCACCATGCTGAGTGAAGCAGCTGAAAGGCAGTATGAGGTTTGAGATTCAGCAGGAGGGAAGCCAGCCCAGGATCTAAGGCCCTCCAGCCTCCCTTTGTTTCTGATGGAGGGGTGCCTCTGGGGCCCCAGGGAGACACCACTACCCCAATTTTACAGGCCTCATAAGCACCTAAAACAGGAAAACAAAGGGACATCCCTGAGGTAGCACGCAGTGCTGGTGGTTAAGGTACAATCCTAATTCTTGTCTTCCACATTCTCTATCCAGAGCTCACCTCACCAACCTGCCCCTCACATCCCAAGGAATAGCCAATGGTGTCAGGGACAGGTGTAGCATTAGTACCTACCTGTGCCTGTGCCTGTGGGGTCTCCTCCTTGGATCTGCAAGAACAAAAGCCAGTGAGCTAGTCAGCCTGAGGCCACCTGCTGCCTTCCACTACACTGTCTGCCCTGCCTAAACATATTCCCCACCTACAAGACAGGCTATCCAGAGGGGCTGAGGTTTCAGTGAGGACAACAGGCCTCCAGACCATCTTTCTGCCTGAACCCAGTTCTACATGGGTTAGAACTTAAAAGCTAGTCTTCAAGATATCTCACAGAGGATTCACCTACAAAATGTACACAGGCCACCAAGACCTGGCCCAGATGCCCACTCAAGGCAGAGACAAGCCCATTCAGCTCCCCCATGCCCACTGAGTCCATCTGTGGCTAACACTGACTGGTGACACTCACCACAAAGTTCCTGATGGACCTGTGAAAGATGGTGCCATCATAATAGCACTTCTTGCAGAGCTTGATGAAGTTTTCGCAGGTTTTTGGTGTCTGAAAAATAGCCCAATGGTTCTGAGGCATGAAGCAGCCAAATTTAGGGTCACAAAAGCCACACAGGGATGGGCAGGGATGGGCAGGGATGGGCAGTTACCCAGACTACAGAGCAACAGAGACCCTAGTCCAGTATAGCCTCAACAAGGGGTCAAGAATGGGTCCCAGAAACTAAAACAACAGGACATCTGCAACTACAGAGCAGAAGTGGAGTTGGGTCCCTTTTGTGGAATGTGTGCACACCTCCACACCTGCCCAGCAAGTGGTTGAGGAGATACATTATGCTGCTAATAGGGCCCCTGACACTGAAGCCAGGACACCACCTCAGCTTTCCCTGAGAGACAAGCTGGACTTGCTACAAGCATATTCTAACTGTAGCTTCATGTTTAAGGCAAGGATGCTGAAATAAGACCCCATCCTTTGGGCTGGGGTTTTGGCTCAGTGACAGAGCACTTGCCTCACATATGAGAGGCACTGGGTTTGATCCACAGCACCACATAAAAATAAATAATCAAAACAAAGATATTAAAAAAGAAAGACCTCATCCTCTGAATAAGAATGCAGATAAGACCTCATATTGGGTGAGGGGACTGGCTGTCACACCTACCAGGTCGCAGTGCAGTTCCAGATTAAGATCACCTTTGTTGGTGTGCARCCGCACATAGCCCTTCTTCTTCACAAACTGGTAGCGTAGCACATCTTCATCAATAGTAGCTGTTGAACAGAGGCCCAAGCTCCAATCCCACCTTTCACCTGGGACAGCCCCTCTACCCAGTCCCCCTGACCTGTAAAGGCAGTGCAGGAGCTGAAGGCTGAAGGTCTGTCCTGTTCATAGGCAGACCTGCCTGGGAACCATGGGGTTTAGGGCCACAAGGGACAGGCAGGGACTCAGTACTTAAAAGGGGGGTGCTGGAAATATCTGGACCCAAGTTGGGGATGGGCAGTACCTATGTGACAGGAAGGAGGCCCCATATGCTGCTACTGTGAACTTGTGTCCCCAGGGACCTAAGAGTCAGGCAGCTACCTGCTTCATGTGTCGTCTCCGGCACCATGGCAGTGGAGGTGAAGGAAGCACTGACCTTCCCCGTGGAATAGTGGGCCTGCCAAGAAAACCATGCAGCTTAGGTCCTTCCCTATCCCTCTCTCTCAGCTTCCCTGACCACCACACACACACAGTCCCAGTGAGACAGCCAGCATTTTAAGGGCCTTTCCCTCAGTGTTCAGAATTGGAAGACAGCAGGGCTAGAGGGACAAGGAGCATGGTAAAGGCCATGGAAGGAGAGGCCAAGGCCAGGCCCAAGGGAGTAAAATTGGCCTGGGTGGGAACCAGTGGTCCACAGCCTCAACTAGGCTCCAACTTATGATGGAAGGTCAACACTGAGAATAAGTATCACAGAGGGCCAGCCTTCTTCAGGGATAGAAGTACAAGGGCTAAAGATTTCAAATTGTTCTACATTAAGAAATAATCTCAGGGCTGGAGTTGTGGCTCAGTGATAGAGCATCTGCCTAGCATGTGCAAGGCACTGGGTTCAATTCTAATTCTCACCACAGCATATAAATGAATAAAATAAAGGTCCATCAACATCTAATAAAAAAAAATTTAGAAAAAAAAATGATCACTTTAATCAAGAAAAAAACAAAGTCCTAATAAGTGTTATTTATTTTTTATTCTAAAGAGAAGACAATAAAGTGGGCTTGCCCATAAGAAATGCAATGTGCTAAGGATGGCTGTGTTCCATTGGGAAGATTATAGGCAAAGAACTTTTTTTTTTTTTTTTTTTTTGGTATTAGTGATTGAACTCAGGGGCTTTTATCCACTGAACAACATCCCCAGCCCTTCTTATTTTTTATTTTGAGACAGGGTCTGGCCAAGTTATGGAGGGCCTTGCTAAATTGCTAAAGCTGCCTTTGAACTTGTGATCCTCCTGCCTCAGCCTCCCAAGCAGCTAGGATTACAGACATGTGCCACCATACCTAGCTGAACTTCTTTTTAATTTTCCAAAATTTTGTTCATTAATTCTTCATGGGGGAGAGAAACTCAGAGCTAGCTACTCCCAGCCTCTGCTCTGCCTGCAGATCTAGCTCACCAGTCATGCCTGCACAGAGGAGAAAGAGATCTGGGCCTGAGAGACTGTGACAAATACCAGCATTACCACTGCTGATGGAACCTCAAGGAGACATGAACAGGACATCCCAGGCAAAGCTCAGGCAGGCGGTCCCAAACATCTCAGCAGTCCCTGAAAGTCTCCCTGGCTTTACTGTAGGTTCCARTACCAAGTGGGCCCTGTCTCCCTGCCACCACAGACCTCCAGGGTTTTTTTTTTGTCTTGTTTTGTTTTTGGTACTAGGGATTGAACTCAGGGGCACTCAACCACTGAGCCACATCCTCAGCCCTATTTTATATTTTATATAGAGATATTGTCTCACTCAGTTGCTTAGTGACTCACTAAGTTGCTAAGGCTGGCTTTGAACTCGTAATCCTCCTGTCTCAGCCTCCCGAGCAACTGGGATTACAGGCGTGCACCACCAAGCCCAGCTTCAGACCTGCATATTCTAAGACTGCTGTGTCCTAAGATATAAACACAGTCCCTGGAGGCAGACAGCTAGTCACCCAAGTTCAGGTCAGGGACCAAGGCATAAAGCAGCCCTTCCTCAGCTTGACCAACTCTTTTGTCCTTGGCTTACCACCCATTCTTTCACACTCAGTCAGGAGGTCTGTGTGACCCTCCTCACCCTCTTGGGGCCCGCTATCTCAGCAGTCCTAAGAGTTGAGTATCCAGGGCCCTTAGGGCCACAACAGTTCTAGAGAAGGTCCCAGTCACATTCCCTCCAAATGTATCCTAGGCTCCATGAGTCCCTGCCCCAGAATCACTTCACAGGTTCAGAGCTGCCTACTTACAGCATTTAGCTGGTCCACTTTCTTCTTCTCTGGGGCCTTCATGGTGGCTGCCAAGATTTCATCCCCTTTGAACTCCTTGTACAGCTCCTGCAGTGTTTCTCGGGTCTCGGTGTTTGTGTTTTTCAAATAATAAGATGGGTCCTGTTTGGCCTTTTCCTCATCTACAAAACAGCATGGAGGTCCTGAGCAGCCAAGCCACAGAAGCATCCATAGATGGATATGATGGAGACAGAAATCCAGAGCCAACTACAGTAGCAGAAGCCACCAGAAAGTTTAGGCTAGGGTCACTAGATATGTTGTGGATCCCATACTACTAACACAGATTGTACTGCAGCAGCAGTGATGGGTCCACCAAGGCCAGATATTCTGAGCACACACAATGCCCTGGGTACCTGGTCCCAGGCCTGAAGAGGTCTTCTCCATGCAGTCAACAGCAGTCTTAGGATGGGCGAGAGGCTTAGGGTTGACTTTTATTTTCTTACTTACGTTCATCTATACATTCCCCCACTTTAATAGTATATGTTTTGCTTTTATAACTTAATTTTTTTTTCTTGGGCTACGGTTGTGGCTCGGGGTAAAGCACTCACTTAGCATGCATGAGGCACTGGGTTCAATCCTCAGCACCACATGAAAATAAAATGAAGGTATTGTGTCCACCTACAACTAAAAAATATTTTTAAAATTTTTTTTCTTATTCTAGGTACAGTGGCACACACCTGTAACCCCAGCAACTCATGAGGCTGAGACATGAGGATTACAAGTTTAAGACCAGCCTTAGAAACTTAGTGAGACCTTGTCTCAACCTAAAAAATAAAAAGAGCTAGGGATATAGATGATAGCTCACTAGTAAAATGCTTCTGGCCTCTGGGTTCAATTCCCAGTATAAAAAAACTATATCTACGTAGCTTGGTACAGTGGTACATATGCCTAAAATCCCAGCTACTCAGGAGTTTGAGGCAGGATTGCAAGTTTAAGGCCAGTCTTGGCAACTCAGTGAGACCCTGTCTCAAAGTAAAAATAAAAACAAAAATACAGAGGGTTGGGATGTAGCTCAGTGGTCAAGTACCCCTGGGTTCCATCCCCAGTATTGCAAAAAAAAAAAAAACTATTTAAAATGTGTTTGGGGTCTTTCCAGATATGAAATGTACCAGGCAGGATGGTGCATGCTGCTGCTTACCTGAAGGAAAGGAACAGCATACCTGGGCCCTAGACTTGGCCTCCAGGTCTCCGGAGGTCAGAGCTCCTCAACTGTGTGCTCAGCCTCAGCATCGCTAAATTCTAACTGGTTCATACAGTGTGCATCACTGAGTATCTGGGATGCTGTTCTCAGCAGCACTGATGCCAACTAATCTTGGCCCAAGTCTTCCTGGGTCCTCAAAAGCAGCCTTAAGTCAGCTAAGAAAATTGGAGAGCTCCTACTTCATTCCACAGTAGGCTCCTTGACACTGACCAACCACAGGAAATAGAAAGACAAAGGGCCCAGCTGCCCCCAAGACATGAGTCTGATGTCACCCAGAGCCTCCACCTCAGTGACACCTCTGTCAATACTCCCTAGAGAAAGCACTGGCCAACAGAAATCCAGGTGGGTGCCCATGGCCACCAGAGCTGAGGAAAGGAAAATGAGATGTCCTGGCAAGTCTGACCTTTTGGGGTTCCCATGACAAGCAGCTGGCAGATTCTCTGAATGTCAGACACTGAACATGGATTCAGGAAACTTGGGGCAAAGCTAGGCTGGGGCCAGAAACCAGGAGTCCCTGGACCCTAGGAAGGCAGGGGCTTTGCCTAGGGGGTGCAGCCCATGTTCCACCCAGACCAGTCCCTGGTTGTACGTACCTGGGTCTGTTATTTTCATGTTATTCTTAACATGAAAGAAGTTGGAGACATTGAACTTGTCCAAATTGGTGGGGTCCTACAGCAAAAGAAAATACGCAGGAGAGTAAACCCAGGACCGTGACCAAACAACTGCCACAGGCAGCAAAGGGTGGTGGTCATGTGCCCAAAGAAGAGGCCAGCACTGAGGGATTGAGCAGGCAAGGAGGGGGGATTCTGCTGCAGGCTGGGTGACAAGTGAGGATGAGTAGGGATAGGGCACAGACCATCTAGTTGCTCAGATGACTGGCAAACTACATCCTCTCCCTCTGGGGAACACAGTTATGAAGCTTCACTTGCTGCTATTGAATGGCCTGGTAGCAATGGAGCCAAGCTCCAATCAGTATGGAACAAGCCACAGAGGGGAACTGGTGGCTCCTATAGGCCTGCTCTAACCTTAGCTCCAATCTGGTGGCCCTTGCTTTTCAATGTCAGAGTTCTCATGGGTTCACTCAAGGTTCCCCAACAACTATAGGGATACCCTATTTTCATGCTGCATGAAGCATGTGCCCATTCCTGTCCTCAAGGTGACTGGAGCAGGGCCAGCCTGTAAAGCTGCTATTCAGATGCCCTGAGATGGCTGTTGGAAAGAGATAAGGCCCCCTGACAACAGAGAGGCACTGTAGGAGCCATGAGAGTCAGAGGTAGTTTCCCATGCCAAAGGCCAGGGTGGGGTTGGGCGTGCTAAGAGGCTAAGGAATCACAACCATACAATCAAGGGAGAGGTAATCAAGCTGGGCAGGAAAGAGAAACAGAACAGAGGTTATGGAGTAGGTTTTCCTTATAGGAGGCGACACTCACCTGGAGAGTGATGATGTCCTGTCGAGAGAAGGGCTCATCAGTCAACAGGTCCCGAAAGTTCTTTGCCTTGATGTTTAGTTGCTCCACTGCCTGCAGTCAGTCAGACCAAGAGTTACAATGCTCTGGGAGACTGCAGGAAGGAAGGCCTGGTGCTGGCTAGATCACAGCACTACTGAGAGGTGAGGAATCAGGTGGAGACTACATGGCTCCTGGCCACAACCCCTTCATGAAGGGCAGAGCTGGCTGGCAGCACCCCAGACAGCAACTGGAACCCAGTGCGCTCAGCACTCTTTATGGGATGCTGTCAGGATACATTTTACATATTGGCCAACAGGCTCAGTGAGGCCACCCCCCACTCATTTCCATCTTCACTGCTCATGCACCAGGCCCAGTGGTAGGACCAGAGACAGGTGGTGAGCAAGAATACAAGATGCCTGCCCTAGTAGAGTCTACTGGTGCTCAGCAAGGACTAACCAAGCCAATCCATGTGCTTTGGGCAAGAAGCAGCCCAAGAGTTCCTGGGACAGCACTGGCCACTGAGAATCTGAAAATGTCCAGGTGAGGAAACAAAAAGGCACAGGCTTTTCCACAAAGTAAGGCTCCTCCCTGCCCCTGCTCTGAGCAAGAGCACTTGTATGGAAACTGCTGCCTCCTATCCCTACATCTACTCCCTGCCAGAACTCCTCTCACCAGCCTGGCACTCACTCCTTCCTAGGGATATCTCTTTCAGGACATGGCCTTCCCTTGCCCCATGGGGTCCAAGAGCTCCCTTGTAGCCCTGGGGGCCTGTTCTCTGAGCAAAGGTTCCTTCCTGGGCCTGATCTTTGCCCTCTGGGGTATTAAGACTCCCCRCTCAGCAATCAAAATTGCTTGGGCTCCAGGTCCAGAAGGCCCAGGAAGTACCTCTCCACTTTTCTGGATCTGTTTGAAATGGGAAGGTACCCAATTGGGTCTGGGTATGAAAGCTTGTGCTAGTGGCTATGACTATAAATCCCATGAGAACAGACCATGCTTGTTGTATTGGGTTCACTCCTAACTCCAGCCAAGATGAGAGAGTACACCCAAAGCACACACCCAAGAGCCTGATGCCATACAGTCCCACATTCCCTGCAGTGAGGACCCACCTCGTAGGCATAGACATTGCCAGTTGTCCTGATGGCCACAATGTGGGTGTTATTGGTGAACACAGTGAACAGCACCGGGCAGTGATACTTCTCTAGAGAGAAGGCACACACAGGAAAGCTAGTCACCCTTGAGAACTTTGATCATTCCAAAGAAGACCACTGAGGGCCAGGGCAGGAGTGAACTCAGGCTGTGGGTCAGAGAAAGGGAGGAGGAAAAACCCCAAGAACCAGAGGGACAACAGCTGCTCAAGTCCCACTCCCAAGCCTCATTAGTAAACTCCTATTCATTCAGTAAATCCCTGCCTCACTTTCCTCAGATGGATGGACCTACCCTGTCCCAGGTGACCCCCATGCTAGTCACTTTTCCTCCTCCTCTTGAAGCCATCCCTGCACAGGAAACAGCCCATTCTCCCAGTGATTTAGTCTTGACTGCCTCTCCTATTTCTCACACCTGTAGCACCCACCAGCCACACTGTCTCCTCACCTTCCTCATCTCTCACCTGGACTACTGTGGCAAATACCTGATGATCCCCTGCCCTAATAAGCCCCCACCCAGCAGCCCTGTCTAGTAAGTCCCAACAAATAAAACTCAAAACAAAAGGGAGGCAGGAACTTAAAGACTAAGGGTCTTAGCGATGTCACCCACATGTATCTGAGTGGAATTCTTTAAAATCCTGATTTGAAAACTATAAAAAATGAGTAAACCATGGAGATTTTACCAGTGGGTACACATTTAATTAGACTAAGAAATGCCTATTAAATTTTTAAGTAATGTAATGCTACTGTGACGATTTTAGTCCTTATCATCAGCAACTCAGTGAGGCTGTAAGCAACCTAGTGAGAACCTATCTCAAAATAAAAAAAATTATTTTTTTAAATTTTTTTAAAAAATATTTTTATTTTTTAGTATTCGGTGGACACAACATCTTTGTTTGTATGTGGTGCTGAGGATCGAACCCGGGCCGCACGCATGCCAGGCGAGCGCGCTACCTCTTGAGCCACATCTCCAGCCCTTTTCTAAATTTTTTTTAAGAGAGAGAGAGAATTTTAATATTTATTTTTTAGTTTTTGGCGGACACAACATCTTTGTTGGTATGTGGTGCTGAGGATTGAACCCGGGCCGCACGCATGCCAGGCGAGCGCGCTACCGCTTGAGCCACATCCCCAGCCCCTCAAAATAAAAAATTTTTAAAAAAGGACTAGGGATGTGGCTCAGTGGTTAGGTGCCCTTGGATTCAATCCCTGGTTCCAATAAATAAATAAATAAATAAATAAATAAATAAATAAATAAATAAATAAATAAAAATAAAACAGGCTGGGAGTATAGCTCAGTGACAGAGCACCTGCCTAACATGTACAAGTTCCTAGGTTCAATCCCTAGTACCAACCCCCACCCAGTAAAAACATCCAACAAAAAAATGAGGCGAGGGCTGGGGTTGTGGCTCAGTGGTACAGTGCTTGCCTAGCATGCATAAGGCACTGGGTTCGATCCTCAGCATCACATAAAAATAAAATATTAAAAAAAAAAAAATGAGGCGAGGTCCTCCTATAGGCTCCCACCCAGGCTCTGTAGGATTGTTGTGCCTCCCATTGCAACTCAATCTCGACCATATCCTCTGCCTCTACTCCTTGCCCATGCTGTTCCAGCAACTCTGGATTTCTGATTGGACAGACACCCTCAAATGCATGCCCATTTCAGGGCTTTGTACTGGGTATACTCAACTGCCTGGAATGCTCTTCTCCAGGTCCTCACTTGGCTTCCTGCCTCCTTTCCATCAGATTTACTCTCTGTGTTTTTTTTTTTTTTTTAAATAAATGAACATTTATCATCACTCCAGGTCAAAGTAATTTTATCCTCCTCAGAACACTGTGCCACAATGAGCTAATCGCCTTCAAAGTAATCATATGCAAAAAAAATAAATAAATAAACAAACAAACAAACAAAAACTCTGGTCCTCTGGTCCTCCTGAGGCTCTTTCCCCTTGCCTTGTTCTGCTTTTTTCCATGGCAGAAACAACGTCTGACACACTATCTGGTTTTCTCCCCAACTAGAAAGTAAGCTCCTCTCATTTAGGGAAATTTGGGCTGCTTTGTTTACTGCAAATAATTCCTGAATGACAGGCACATATTGCAAACCTCCCTAAACCAGCTGATCACAGAGTTGGATAGTCACTAGAGTGAAGCTCCTGATTTCATCAACATACAATACTGCTTTTTTGCTGAAGCTCTAATTTACTCATGATCTACAAACCCAGTGTTGACTGTGAAGCAGACTCTAGTGTTAGTCAAGAGGGAGGGGTCCTAGCCTCCTGTGCTCTCTGCATTCCCCTGGAAAACATACACCCAGCAATCATAACAACCTAAACCACAACATCTACATGGCCAAAGGAGACCAGGGTTAGGGCACAAAGGCCTCCAGTAAGATTAGCACCTCAGATAGGAATAATGCAGGATGGTCACATCAGCCCTGGTATGTGGCCAAGAGACAAGAAGACATTTCAAAATATAAAGCACGAAGCCTTCAAACTGGGCTGGGGCTTTAAAAGTGATGTTGACAAGCTGGGTGCAGTGGTACACACTTATAATCTCAGTGTCTTGGGAAGCTAAGGTGGGAGGAATACAAGTTCAAAGCCAGCCTCAATAATTTAGCAAGGCCCCCTAGGTAACTTGGTGAGACCCCATCCCAAAATAAAAAGGGCTGTGGATATGGCTCAGTGTTTAAGCCCTCCTGGGTTTAATCCCTGGTACAAAAAAAAAAAAAAAAGAGGTGGTAATAAGAAGCCCAGCCAAGAGACCCCTCCAGACATCCATGGCCTAACTGCCCACCCTGACTCTGCCTCCAGCAATTAATACACTCCTCATGCCCCACAAGGCCCAATTATACCCACAAAGGCCACTGGTTGTTCAATGGACTGAATGCCCTTGTACAAAAAAATGGTTCTCTGCCAACTCACCCCCATTTTAAAACTATCTGGACCTTTATGAAATCATGTGGTATTTTTTTTAAAAATAAATGAACATTTATCATCATCCCAGGTCAAAGTAATTTTATCCTCCTCAGAACGCTGTGCCACAATGAGCTAATCACATTCAAAATAATCATATGCAAGACAGTATAAGCTGAATTTTTAAAAAGTTYAAAATATTGTTTTCAAACCTAAGGATAAATCATCATGCAGTATCTTTTGAGAAATTAAAAGCAAGTGTCTAGCTTGTTCAGAAAGAAATGAGTGAGGGCTGGAGATGTGGCTCAGTGGTAGAGTATGTGCAAAGCCCTGGATTCAATCAGAAGGGAGGGAGGGAGGGAGGGAGGGAAGAAGGAAGTAGGGAAGGAAGGGAATAAAGGAAAAGAGGAAAGGAAATAAAAGGAGGAAGAAAAAGGAGGAAGGAGAGGGAAAGAAAAAGGAAGGAAGAATTGACAAAAGAACTTGGTGAGGGGAGGGGGTATGAGGGTAGGAGGGACAGTAGAATGAATCAGACATTATTATTCATTATTACATCTATGTGCATCTATAACTACATGACCAGTGTGATTCTACATCATGTACAATCAGAAAAATGATAAGTTACGCTCCATTTATGTATGATATGTCAAAATGCATTCTACTGTCATGTATAACTAATTAGAACAAAAAAAGTGAGAGCAGGGACCCCATGAGCCAATCCCAGAGCTGGCTAAAAAGAGACTTACCTTCACTGTTCTTGGCAAAGTTCAGCTTTATCAGGGACCTACCATCAAGTTTCTGAAAGACACACAATAAATAATAATAAGAGCTGGGTGTGGTGGAGCATGCCTCTGCAACTCTGGAGGCTGAGGTAAGAGGATTCCAAGTTCAAAGCCAGCCTCAGCAACTTAGCTAGACCCTGTCTCCAAATAAAATACAAAAAAAGGGCTGGGGATGTGGCCCAGTGGTTAAGTGCCCCTGAGTCCAATCCCTGGTACCAGAAAAACAAATAAATAATAATAATAATAATAATAATAATAATAATAATAATAATTTGATAAGACATGTGAAGAAATGTGAGGCTGAGAAGCCAGGTGAAAACAGAGACAGGCTGGAAAGGTCTTTGCCCAGCCAATCCTTTATAGCTACAGAACAGAGCTCTAGAGCTCTAGATGCAGGGACCTCTCTATGCAAACCACAGGACATTGCCAGGACTCAAAAGGGGGCTACAGAATGGTGTGCCTAGGTGGGTACATTTATATAATCCACCATCCACCCCTACTGGCTCTGAGTAGAGCCCATTTTGTAAATACATATGCCAACAGAGGTGACTACTGAACTGAAAAATAGGACTAAATGATGAGGCTACAAGATAAAAGCTGGTTTTATACTCCTGTGTTAATGCAGGAATATTCAGAGGTGAAAAAATTAAATTATGAGAGCTGTAACCCTAATCAGTCCATCCTAGTTTAAATGAATTCGCTGAGTGGTAACTGTAGGCAGGTGGGGAATGACAAAAGGAGGTGGGTCACTGGATTGAGCCCTGGAGGGACTCATCTTCCCTGAGCTCCTGAGTCCCCCCACCCCTTCATATCCTTGTGGCAGTGAATATTTTTCTCCACCTCACCTCAGAGGCCAAAACTGAGTCAACTGACCATACAGTGAAACTATGTGCCCAGATAAATCCTTTTCTTCTCTAAGTTGTTTTTGTTTAGTATTTTGGTCACAGTGACAAAAACAGACTAAAACACAACAAAAATAAGAAATTTAATTATTACAAATTAAAAATTTTTTACATTAATAAAAATAAAAAATTAATTTTTCCCCTATAAACAGAAAAAAAAAAACTACCCATTGTTGCTCAGGACATAGGGAACTCCTCCTTCACATGTTGCTATCAAAAGTGTGAAGCAATACGATGGCTTCGGAAGGTAATTCTCTAGTAGCTGCCCAAACTGAAAAGGTAAGCATCCTTTGACTTAATAGGTACCCATCCTTTGACCCATCCTTGGACAGATACTTCTACTTGCCCAAAGAAACATGCTAGGGACAGTCCCTGCACCTATGTAATGGCAAACAAGTTAAAATCCAGCATAGTACTCCCACAAAGAAGGATATACACTACAACACAGAAAAGGCTGTGATTTCTGCACCAAGAAGTTCAGGTTTCTAAGCAACGCATACAAAACAAGGTACACAGGTGTTCATCCACTATGATCACATCTGTGGCCCAAGAAAAGGCATATGTAATAGTGCCTCAGTATAGCAATCAGTTCCAGGACCCCCCAGGATATCAAAATGCATAGATGCTCAAGTACCTATGGCACTGTATTTTCACAGAAACTATATACACCTGTAGATGAGAGTTTTTGTGTGTTTGTAGTATTGGCAATTGAACCCAGGGCCTCCATATGCTAAGCAAGTCTTCTACCAGTGAGCTGCATCCCCAGTCCTTCTCTATAAGACTTGTAATACCTAATACAATGTCAATGCTATGTAAATAGTTGTTATACTGTATTATTTAAGGAATAATGACAAGGAAAAATTCTGTACATTTTCAATATGGACAAATTTTTTTCAAATATTTATGATTGGTAGTTGATTGAACATGCAGATACAAAATGTACTGACACAGAGGGACAATGTACATTCTTATATTCATGCTCATATAGTGGACATTTCTAGAAAGGAGTGGGTGTGGTGAGGAGAGGGAGTCCTGTCACTCTTTACCCCATGTGTACTTGCTCCCTATGAATGGTTCTCTACTAGGTCCATGTGTCCATGAAAATGACCAGGACAAAATAAAGGCAAGAGGACAGCTCTCACCAGCATCAAATTTCTACATGGCCACCTACCTCTCCATTGCTGGGGTTAGTCCCATACTTCTTAAGCCATGGAACGATATTCCTGAAGGGAAGAGAAAACCGAAAGTGTCACCAGGGCTGAGGGTGTAGCTCAGTGGTAGAATGCTTAGCATGTGTAATGCCCAGAGTTCAACCCCCCAAAAAAGAAAAATATAAGCATAATGCTTCAAACTACAGCACTGTTGACTGGTGGTCAACACCAGAGGTGACCCTGATGCCCCATCCCTCCAAAGCTTGCAACACCAGAGGTGACCCTGATGCCACATCCCTCCAAAGCTTGCAGCACAAACCATTAAGTAAAAGGCACGGGTCCCAGAAGCCTTCATTATGGCTCTAATTTTATAAAGTGAAGAGTCTCTAGTCCATTAACATTCCAAACTGATGCCAATTAAAACCCAAAGACCCTCACATACAGAGAATGAAGAGCAACTTGAACCCACTTCTGGCAGGGACAGGAGCAACTGCCAGTTAAAGCTCTTTATCTGAGAGGAAAAGGGATACATCATAGCAATACTGCTGCCATGTCCCTGAGGCCCTGGCTATTCCTCCTTAGTCACCAACAGGCTCACTCACAACTCCTGAGACTGCTGGGATTAGGATCTGGTGACCCTGGCATTGCCTTGCTTGGCACTGTCTGGATGCACAAACCCAACACCTCCTTCCTTAGTGGGTGTCAACAATCTCACCATATACATAGATCAAAGTTAAGGTAAAACTCACAGCAAGTCAAAGACGACACCTTCTGGGGTGCAGACCGGGTAGACAAAGGGCTGAAGAGAAAGACTGAAAAAGAAGTCATTCCTGGTCAGCTGCTAGACACACAGATTTCACCATGGGCTGGCCAGTCACCCTAGTACTCACCTTTGGCTTCCCTTCTTCAATCATTCCTTTAACAGTTCCAGGCTTCTCTGCATAGTCTGCACTGGTGGTCAACACCAGAAGTGACCCTGATGCCCCATCCCTCCAAAGCTTGCAGCATAAACCATTAAGTACAAGGCACGGGTCCCAGGAGGTGCCACAGGGCCTTAGAATCACAATAACCAGGTTTTCTCACAACCTCTGTATGTCTATAATATTTTTGTTATCAAAACTGGTCTCTGGGGGCTGGAGTTGTGGCTCAATGGTAGAGTGCTTGCCTGGCATGTGTGAGGCACTGCGTTCAATTCTGGGAGGGAGGGAGGGAGGGAGGAAGGAAAAATAAATATAAATATTAAAAAAAAAAAAAAGCTGGTCCCTGGAGGTAGCCTTGGGGAGGCAGGACCAGGATTCACTCTCCAAAACTTCATGCAGCAGACAGGCCAAACTTTTATACTGAAAGCTATCCTCCCAAATCCTGTGAGGGTATGATGGGGCTACTATGGTCTGGGGTGCCCTGTCTTCCCCTGACCACAGAGTGTGTACATAGTCCCTCACATTTCCAAGGAGCTGCCATATGACTAAGTGAATACCTAAGTCCCTAGGAGCTCTCAAGAAGTTCTCATACATGGATATGGGGATAAACATCTGAAGAGGCCCTGACCAAGAGCCATTTTCCCCTCATGGAGTCTGCTGAAGAAAAGCAGAACCTGGGCTGGGGATGTGGCTCAAGCGGTAGCGCGCTCGCCTGGCATGCGTGCGGCCTGGGTTCAATCCTCAGCACCACATACAAACAAAGATGTTGTGTCTGCCGAAAACTAAAAAAATAAATATTAAAATTCTCAAAAAAAAAAAAGAAAAGCAGAACCTACCTGGTGAACTGCCTATACCAATACTCTTTTTCTTGCATGGATTTCTGCAATAGCCATTCAGAGACCTAGCTGCCCTGAATTCTGTTTATACATTTTTCACCTATGAGTTTAGTCAGCACAGGTCAGGGCTTAAGACTTAGATAGCCTGGCAACACTGTGACTTCGACCCTCCTAAGCTCTGACCAGGATTGGCCTGGGGACCTCCCAGAATGCTATTCAAGGGAACCCTAGATGAGCAACCTGGCCACCTCCGTCTGTGGCCCCACCTTCAATGCTAACTATAGCAGTAATGGTAGTGCTATTGGTAAGTATCCAGAGCTGGAGCCAAAACCAAAGCAAGCTCCAAATGCCATGATGATGAACATGTAACTGACTGCTCCCCAATAAGACCTTAAGGGTCATATGCTCAAAGCACTTTTTTTTTTTTTAGTTGTAGATAGACACATTTCCTTTATTTATTTTTTTTCATTTTTATTTATTTTTAATTTTTTTAATTGTACTTGGACACAATATCTTTATTTATTTTTATGTGGTGTTGAGGATTGAACCCAATGACTCACATGTGTGAGGCGGGCGCTCTACCAATGAGCTACAGCCCCAGCCCTTATTTTTTTATTTTATTTTATTTTTTGAATCTTTTTTTTTTTTTTAAAGAGAGAGAAAGAGAGAGAGAGAGAGAGAGAGAGAGAGAGAGAGAATTTTAATATTTATTTATTTTTTAGTTCTCGGCAGACACAACATCTTTGTTGGTATGTGGTGCTGAGGATCGAACCCCGGCCGCACGCATGCCAGGCGAGCACGCTACCACTTGAGCCACATCCCCAGGCCTTATTTTTTTATTTTTATGTGGTGCTCTACCACTGAGCCACAACCCTAGGCCCTCACAGCACATTTTTACTCCTAACCCAAGGTAGTTAAAAAATAATTGAAACTAAGATCAATGATCTCTTGAAGGAACTTGAATCAAGAATGATTCATTTCCATCACATCAATTAATATCCAATGTGAAGACCACATTCTTACAGACTGATTACAGATTCTACTATGGGGAGGGAAGAAACACTAGCCATTGAGGCTGCACCTCACAGAGCAGGTGCTGCTAAAGAGGAATAGTCCCCACTAACCACTGTATAGGTGGATCCTCAAGGTCCTGGGCAAATGCAGGGAGGCCCGGATGTTGGGCTGAAGTAACTAGGCCCTCAGGTCTCCCTGCACCATGGATTCCTCTGCCCATTCCTCACTGCACTGTGGTATCTGGATGACCTCCCTCAACTGGGGTGCCAGCATCACCAGGGCAGCTTTGTTGGCTCTCAAGGGTCATCCTGACCTTCAGAATCAGAATTTGGGGATAAGGAAGATGCTGTGAATACAAGCATCCAGGGCAGAAGTGACCATGGCTCAGGCTGTGCAAACCTCAGGCCTTAGGACCACCAGACCTGCCCACTCTCCTAACACCCCCTCACCCTGGAAGGGGCAATGTAAGGGGTTCATCAGTCGAAGCCCTGATTCTCCAACAGGCCCCCCACTTCTGTTCATAACCAGACCAATCTGGCTGGAAGCAGCATTTAGGTGGCTCTGCTTCTGGGTTTCTTCTCATCCGCACTAGTGCCTGGGTTCACATATAAGTAGGGAAAGGCCTCATGATAACATTACTCTTGCTACTGCTGATGCTGCAATTACTTAATTTCTCTAACAAGAGTAAAGTGTTACAAGTGTGGGCCTGAGGTCAGACCACTGAGATCAAGACTCAGTGACCAATCTTTCCAGATGTGATACGTGACCCAGGTGCTTCAGTCTTCTAAGCATCAGTTCTCTCAACTGTAAAATGGGCTTAACAACAAGGCTTACTATCCTGGAAGGTAAGAATGAGGTAAAAAAGACAAAGTCTGTAAATACAGACACAATAAATAAAAATATACACTACCTATCATCATGATTAGGTCCACTGCCTCCCATTTCAGGGAAAATCCAGGTAGAAGAATATAAATGATCCCTACCTACTCCTTCAGATTCACTACCAGATAGTACATAATGAGCATCCCTAATCTGAAAATAAAATCCAAAATGCTCCAAAATCCCAAAACTTTGGAGTGTCACATCAGTGCTCAAAAAGTTTAGGATTTTGGAACATTTTGGACTTTAGATTTTAAGATTAGAGATGTTTAAGTGGTAAAGTCTATGAAAATATTCCAAAATCTGAAAAACTCAAATCTGAAACACATCTATCTGGTCCCAAATATTTCAGAAAAAGGAGGTCCAACCATATATCAGAGAACCACAGGGAAAGATAAACATTCAGAACCCTTACCTGCAGTGGTCAAAAGGTAATCGACGAAAATTTGTTTGTGGGATATCTGTTTAAAATGAAATTAAAAACACTAAACTTATTTGTAAAATATTTCATCTATGTGCACCTAACAACAATTCAATTACATTTTATAAAAAAGTTAATGCAAATTACCTAGTACAGCAGTTGCTATGGATTTAAAGTTTTCTGTTTGTCTGTTTTGGTGCCGGGGACTGAACCGAGAGCCTCAAGCATGCTAAGCAGGCTCTACCATTGAGTTACACTTCAAAACACATGGGGTACACCAAAAAGAACTTAGAGGAAGCCTGGCACAGTGGTGCATGCCTGTAATCCCAGACATGCAGGAGGCTGAGGCAAGAAAATCGCAAGTTCAAAGCCAGCCTCAGCAACTTAGTGAGGCCCCAAGCAATTTGGCAAAACCCTGTCTCAAAATAAAAACCAAAATGTTATTTTAATCTATGTTTTGAAAAATCCCCACCAAGATAAAACATGTTCTCCTATGCTGATTATATTTCCTCTTTTGTGGATTATGTCCTCACTCCAGTTGTCTATTATAATATCTGTGTTCTTGTTAACTGTTCATTTTTACAGCTCACAGTAGAAGAAGACATCATTCCTTAATACCACCCCCATCAACCATGGAAAACAGAAGAATTTTATGCTTTACCTGGCTTCTTGCCACCATAGAAGTGAGTGTATTCAGCACAGGTAATGTACCTGAAGAAGAGAGAAAATGTTACTATCTCCCCTTTATAAAGATGACAGAATCTGTGAAGTAAGTAACTGATCTTCATAGAGATGACAGAGTCTATGAAGTAAGTAACTGATGATGTAATTGTGGCTTATTCAGCAAATGCTTATTAAAATACCTGCTAAATGTCAGGCACATAGTGATAAACAAAGCAGGCAGAAGGATACTGAGACAAGTAAATAAAAACCAACAGTCCTTCTTTGCTCTGAAAGAAAAAAACTGAATTTATGAGAAGAGCTGACATGAGAAGGAGCTGGGCACATGAAGATCTGGAGAAGAGCTTGGTAGGCATAATATGTATGAAGGCTTAACGGTTGGGTTTGTACCAAAAACAAGACATAACCGAATAATAATAGGAAACAGATGAAGATAAAGACATGGGCAATGACCAATCACTGGAGCTACACAGGCCATGGTAAAGACTCTGGATTTGCCCTAAGTGGGAAGGGAAGCTATTGGAGGGTTGTGAATAGGGCCCTGACATGATTTAACATATGTCTCAAAGCACCAGTCTGGCTGCCGTGTGTAGGAAAACAACTGAAAAGGTATCAGAACAAGAGGTGACCACAAAAGTCCAAGAAGTTGGATATACCAACTTCACCTACGGAGGACTGGTGGACAAGGTGGAAAGTGGTCAGTTCCTGAAAGAGCCAGGACTTCCTGATGGACAGGAATAATGAAAGGCATCAAGGCCAACAACCAAACCTCTGACCTGAGCAGAYGCTTCTAATGGGACCATGCCCTGAAAAACCCATCCTGAGTTGAAAACATCCTAAGCTAAAAATGCATTTGATAACCTAACTTATTGGTCATGACAGATTAGCCTAGTCCACTTTAAACATACTCAGGACACATACATTAGCCCACCACACAGCAAAAATATCTAATAAAATGCTTATTTTAGGGCCTGGGATATAGTTCAGTGATAGAAGCCCTCGTAGGAGGCCTGAGATCAACCCCCAGCAACATACACAAACATCAAAAAGAGTGTTAAATATCTCACATAATGTAAACCCCCAGTACCCAAAAAAAAAAAAAAAGTCAAACATCAAAGTATGGTTTCTATTGAATGCACATTGTTTCACACCATCATAAAGTTGAAAAATTGTTAAGTCAACTCACAGAAGGTTGGGGACCATCTATAGTGATATAACCACTGAAATAGGGAGGAGGGAGGAGGTCAGGGTAAAAAGATGAAAATCAAAAGTTTTGTTTAGGATGTGTTATAATTTATATCTGGAATATCCCTCAAAGGCTCACATGCTGAAAGGCTGGTCCTTAATGTAGCAATGTTCACAAGTAGAGCTTTTGGGAAGTGATCAGATCATGAAGGCTCTGATCTCACCAATGTATTAATCAACTAACTGGTTCATAATTGAATGTACTATTGGGAGGGGGTAGAAACTGTAGGAGGTGAGGCCTAGTGAAAAAAGTAGGTCACTAGGGGCATGTCCTGGAAGAGCATATGTTGTCCTTGGACCACTCCTTGATCTGTGCTTCCCAGTTGCCATGAGGACAGCAGCTCTGATCCACCATGATATTTTGCCTCATCACAGGTCTAAAAGCAATAGAGTCAGTTGACCATAGACTGAAACTATGAGCCAAAATAAACCTTCCCTACTTTAGTTCTCAGGGATATTGTCATAGTGACAGAACAATAATAATACAGAGAATATTAACTTTCAGGTAGTACCATGTACTGGTAATCCCTGCTACTCAGGAGGCTAGCTAAAACAAGAGGATGAAGAGTTCCAGGCCAGCCTTGGTAAAATGCTTATATAAAAATATATATATACAGTAAAACATATACAGTATACAGTAAAATGCTTATCAAAAAAAAAAAAAAAAGGAAAGAAAAAGAAACTCCCAGACATCTACCAGTTCTTCTTCACAGGAAGATGTCAAGTAAATAGCTCACTATGGAAAGATAAAGAAATCAACTTTGGCTGGGCCAGCTACACATGCCTGTAATCCCAGCAGCTTGGGAGGCTGAGGCAAGAGAGTTTAGAGCCAGCCTCAGCAATTTAAGGAGGCCCTGTACTCCTTAGTGAGCCCCTGTCTCTAAATAAAATACAAAAACCTGGGATGCGGCTCAGTGGTTAAGCACCCCTGGGTTCTATCACTGGTACCAAAAAAAAAAAAAAAAAATCAATCAACTTCAACTTATGGATGACTGGGAAAGATCACTCACAGACAAAATAATGGGGAAGAAACCTATGAGGTCTGAGAGAAGAGGAGGAAGGCCCAGGAAAGGAAACTAAGAGAGAGGACACTGAAGTAGATGGAAAACAAAGCACGTGGGATTCAAGACACTGAAGAAGGATTTCAGGAAGGAGTAATTATCGTGTTTTAGGCTACTGAGAACACCAGATTTGGCAACAAAGACAACGGTATCTTCACAAGGGCTGTTCTGGGTGCAAAAGTCTGACTGAGGTGGTTTCAAGATGCAGCAGAAAACAGCAAGGAGACACAAGACTTTCACTTGTTAGGAACAGAATCAAAGAAACATGGTGGTAGCTGGAGGAAAGGGAGGGACACGGTTGGCTTGTTTTTATTTTTTTCTGGTACCGAATTGAACCCAGGACCCCTTATTTATGAGCTACATCCCCAGCCCTTTTTATTTTGAGAAAGGGTTTAATTCAGCCTCGAAAAATTACCGAGGTAGGCTTTTAACTTGCGATCTTCCTGCCTCAATYTCCCGAGTCGCCGGGATTACAGGCGTGCGCCTCTGCGCCCGGCTGGCTTGTCTTAAACTACAGACTAGAGATGTGTAGGCTAAGTGTGAACCAGCATCCAGGGAGACTGAAGATGCAGGAGAGACTACTAACTAATGCAAGAGCAAAGCTCACAATGGATGGCCGGGGCGGTCCCAGGCAAATTCTGAGAAGTAAAGGAGACGGTTCAAATTGAGCGCCGAGGGCAGTGTAAGGGTCGCGCTCAAGAGACCATATCAGGGCTTAATCCAAGCAAACCGTGGTGGTTGGAGGCTGCCTGGAGAAGGGGGTGGGAATTTCCGGAAGTGACAATTTGGAATGGCCTCTCGACGAACTCTGAGAAACAGCAGCGGCGCTAAATCAGGCAGGGGATTGAACAGAGCGTGGCGCCAATCCCAGCTGAGACTCAACTTACATCTTGTCCTTCTGGTGCTGTCGTTTCCCCATGGCAGCGGCAGCAGCAGCAGAAACAGCTAAAGCGAAAAAGTGACCGCCTACCACTGAGATCCCCAAGCCTCCTCGGAGTTTCCTCACCACTTCCGGGTCTTGCAGACCCGCCCCGGAAGCGGCCTCTCGGCATGCTGGGTAGTAAGGTTCTTGGGCACCCCAGTGGTTAGGCTGGAACAGGGCGCGGCCAGTCTGAACGCGGGGGTTCTGKCCTTTAATCTCTCAGAACCCCATCTTCTTGGGAACCTCTGAAGAGCCTTCTCACCTKCCCAGACAAAACTCAATGTCGTCTCTGCTCAAGCCCAACCTAAATTCTCTGGTCTTTGAAAAAGTCTGGTGTCATGTTGGCGGGTGGGGATTGAGACCGAGACCGACAAAGACGGGACGGGGATTGAATTTAAGGACTCTTTACCACTGAGCTGCAAYCCTAGCCCTTTTTATTTTTACTTTGACGCAGGGTCTTCCTAGGTTAGGCAGGCTGGCCTCCAATTTGAATAATCTTCCTTCAGCCTCCCGAGTCGAGGGATTACAGAGGAGTGCCCTCATGCTTGACGAGACTGAAGTCATTTAAATCCCACTAGCCTCCTCTCCACTTCTATTTGCCTTCCAGGCGGAGGCCTACAATACTATGACTATACTGTGAGAAATAAAGCCTAGTGGTTTATTTTCATAATATAGTGTTCAGCCTTAATTGGATCTAATTGTAGCCCTTCCCTTTTGCCCGCCCTAATTCTTTAATTAGCCTATCAAGTACATTGTAACCCCGAACTCTTCCAATCAGAGTTAAGGACAGCGCTTTGATAGGTTAGCCATTTAAACCAGTGGGACTGCACAACTCCTAGGGAGCCCACCACAAGGAAGGCATCTCCATGGGAACTTTATTCATTCCACAAGTCATGGTTTGTAGGAAAGAAGTTACGGACTCCTCTTGTGGAGCACGGACTCTGCACTGCCAGGGTCATTCTCTGAGTCGTCTTTGGGTCTGGGAACAGGCTGGAACTTGAGTAGGACAGGCGGGGTGAAGATGGAAGCCTTCACAGCAGGGGATGGAGTCTCATCACTGTTGAGAGCGCCACTACAGGCTGAGGTCCTGCATGGGAGACATCCAACATATGCCCATGAGGTATGACACCAGCACACAGGACTGCCAAAGGTACACGTGACAATATCCTAAGCTGCAGGATGGCTCCCAATACTACTTTGAGAATGTTGGTTGCAGCAATGTTTGTGACTTTAAAGAACCAATCTAAATGTCCAGGAGAGAACAGCTAATTGAATCATGGTATAGCCAGGCTGTGAAGTTTTCTGATCTGTTTAAAGGAATGAAGGAGATAGCCAACAAATAAAAACATCCCAATTGTTTATTAATGGAAAAAAAAAGTTGAAAAGTACACACAATATGACCCTACTTGGGTTAAAAATTAACTAGTGTGTTGGAACCACCATTTGACCCAGCTATCCTACTCCTCAGTTTATACCCATAGGACTTAAAAACAGCATACTACAGTGACACAGCCACACCAATGTTTATAGCAGCACAATTCACAATAGCTAAATTGTGGAACCAACCTAGATGTCCTTCAATAGATGAATGGATAAAGAAATTCTGGTGTATATATATATACAAGGGAATATTACTCAGCATTAAAAGAGAATAAAATCATGGCATTTGCAGGTAAATAATGGTGTTGGAGAATATCATGCTAAGTGAAGTATGCCAAACCCAAACCCAAATGTTTTCTCTGATATGTGGATGCTGATCCATAATGGGGGTGGGGGGAAGCATGGGCGGAATGGAGGAACTTTGGATAGAGCAAAGGGGAAGGAGAGGAAGGGAGGTGTCATGAGGGTGGGAAAGATGGTGGAATGAGATGGACATCATTACCCTAAGTACATGTATTCTCTTACAAATGGTGTGACTCTATTTTGTGTACAACCAGAGAAATAAAAAATTGTGCTCTGTATGTGTACTATGAATTGAAATACATTCTTCTGTCATGTATAACAAATTAGAAAAATAAATTTAAAAGAATTAACTAGTCTATTTGTGTGTGAAGACACAAAATGTTTGGAATGGCACATTAAAAAAACTTCTTAGCAGTGGTATCTTATATGTATTTTCTGTGTGAACTTTTCTCCATGGAATATGTTCTGGCTTTTATTTTTTTTCCATTTTATTGATTGATTGATTGTACCAGGGATTGAACGGAGGGGTACTTAACCATTGAGCCACATTCCCAGCCCTTTTATGTGTTTATTTAGAGACACGGTCTGCTGAGTTGCTTAGGGCCTCACTTAATTGATGAGGCTGGCTTTGAACTCATGATCCTCCTACCTGGTTCCCAAGCCACTGGGATTACAGGCGTGTGCCATTGCACCCAGCTTTTTATACTTATTGTTTTAGGTACTAGGAATTGAATCCAGGGCCTTCCACATGCTAGGCAAGCACTCTACCACTGAGCTACACCTTTACCCCTTAAATTTTAAAAAACCAATTAAAAATAACCCATATTTTGGTGATGACACTGTAGTATCATAACTCACTCAGAAAGTAAGATGTACCAAGAGCCTAGAAGACAGCCACATCAGTGCAATATTTCCACACACAAAAACAGTTGAGTAAATGATGTTCTGATGTTCTATTCATACCATGGAGTATTTTGCATTATTATTGGTGAACCTAAAGATATTTTTAATGTTGTGGGAAGAAACTAATATGCTAATATTGTCTACAGAACTGCCTAACAGAACACTCCCAATCTCAGTTATACAGAAAACGATAACATGTGCACATATACACATGTCCATGAAAAGACGCCTTGACTAAAACAGAAATATAATGGTTGTTATTTCTGGAGTTAGGAATAGGAGGGGATCTGGTGAGTCTTTTCTGTGTGGGTTTCATATTGTCTGCAAGTAAACCTATTGCCTTTAGATTCTAAAAACAGATAGCTTTCTTATTAATTTCCATACCCTTTCCCTTGTAACTATATTTTAGGGGGTTCATCTGAAATTCAGAAACAGCTTGGTATATAACAACTTTAATGCCAGCCCTGAATACACTAGTGGAAAACTAGAAGTTAGTCTTGTATCTCCCAGTGGAATTAAATAGTGAAGGTACTACATACACTGGATGGCTATTGCCCCAATCAATGATGCTTGTGTTTAAAACAGTCCAGAAGGGGCTGGAGTTGTGGCTCAGTGAGTGGTAAAGCACCTGCCTGGCATGTGTGAGGCCCTGGGTTCGATCCTCAGCACTGCATATAAATAAATAAAATAAAAGATCCTTTTACAACTAAAAAAAATAATAAAACAGTCCAGAAGCATTCAACTGCCAGGATTGTAACATATTAAGTGACAGAGACAAGATTTTTTTTAAAATGAATCACATATAGATAAAACTATGCCTAGAAAAGACTAGAAAAGATGATCATAGTCCTGCTCTGTGACTTCACTCTGAAGACCTAATGATGGTCAGTGCTTCATTTTGAAATTTTGTTTTGTAACACTGCAAAAAACCCTTCTGTCACCCAGCAGTCACCTTCACATCCTTCCCCCAACTTGTCTATTTCTTCCATTTAACTATAATTCATGAATATACAGAAACATGTTTAATCATATTTATAATTTTAACAGCTATATAACATTCCATAGTTATATAAATACATATTTGAGCTATTTCCATATGTCCTCTTTTTAACTGATGTTGACACAAATATTTTTAAACAAATGGCTTTTTTCTTTTCTATTTTATTTCCCTGGAAGAAGTTTCCAGGATTGAAAATACTGGGTGAAAGAGTTCAGGAATTTCTGTTTTCTGATTATGTTTTGAAAAGACTTTCTTTCAAGAGAACTAAGCCTAGCCAGGTACAGGGGCACACACCTGTAATTCCAGCTACTGGCAAGTTTGAGGCTAGTATGGACAACTTAATGAGACCCTGTCTCAAAAAAATAAAAAGGGCTGGGGGTATAGCTCAGTGGTATAGTGCACCTGGGTTCAATCCCCAGTACTTCCCCCAAAAATTGTATTTATACATATTGGGCTGTCTCCCCAGCCCCCCTACCCATAATGGGGATTGAACCCAGAGGGGCTTAACCATTGAGCCACATCCCTTGCCCCCCCCCTCTTTTTTTTTTTTTTTTTTTAATTTGAGACAGGGTCTTGATAAGTTCTTAAGGTGGTTTTGAACTTGGGAGCCTCTTGTCTCGGCCTCCCAAATTGCTGGGATTGCAGGCATGTGCCACCACACCCAGCAACAACCCAATATTTAGAAATGGGCAAAGAATCTTAATAAACACTTCTCCAAAGATATACAAATAACCAGTAAGTACAGGAAAATGCCTCAACAACATTAGTCATCAGGGAGATGCAAATCAAATCCACAGTGAGAAACACTTCACCTCATACCTATTGAGATAGTTGTATTAAAAAAGACAATTAAGTTGTGTTGCATGATATATAGTAGGCATCTATAGTCCCAGCTACTTAAGAGGCTAACTTGGGAGGACTGCTTGAGCCCAGGAGTTCAAGACCAGCCTGGGCAACATAGGGAGACTCCATCTTTAAGAAAGAAAGAAAGAAAACGTAACAATAAATATTGGGCAAGAGGTGGAGAAATTGGAAACTTCATACATTGCTAGTGGGATTATAAAATGAGGCAGCCACTATGGAAAAAGTTTTGTTGGCCCAGCAATCCCACTCCTAGGAGTATACCCAAAAAAACTGAAAACTATGCCCTCATGAAAATTTGTACACAAATGTTTGTAACATCACTGTTTCCAGCAGTCAAAAATGTTAAAAAGTCTAATTCCTATCAACTGATGAATGGCTCAATAATAATACAATGGAACATTGTTCAATCATTAAAAGAAGGTATTAACATTGCTACAACAGTCACACCATGAAAACATTATACTGAGTGGAAGCATCCAGATACAAAAGGCCATATATATGATTCCATTGATATGAAATATCCAGATCTACACAGAAGTAGATTAGTATTTGCTTATAGCTGGTAGGTAGAGAACTGGGGGTGGCATCTTAGGAGTGCTGTAATTTCCCCTGCAACATGAACAT